ATAATAATAATAATAATAATAATAATAATAATAATAATAATAATAATTATAATGATAATTATAATGATAATATATCATCATTTATACAAATTTATTTAGGTAAAACATCAATGGTTTTTTGGTCAATATTTTTTTATAATTTTGTTGTTGTTATGGATTTTATGTTTAGTAAAAAGGGAATTAAGTTGTTAATTATTTACAATTACAAGTTCAGTTTTCAAAAGAACCTTGCAGAGGATAATATACAAAGGTGGATATGTATGTACAAAACGAAAATATAAAACATACGTCCAACTGAATGGAAATTGTTTATGTAAAGGAGTATTAACAACGAAAGGGAAGGCAACGGTACACTTTTGTGACAACGATTGACGTGTTCATTAAAAAGAAAATATAAAGGATTTATCACCGAGCAACCACCTAAAATTAAACGAGAACCAATTCAGTTCAATTTAATAAAATATTTTTATCAAACGAAAACCAATTCGACATGTGGGGTTGGGGCTCGGGAACCAATTCGGTATCAGCCATATATTTATATAGTTTCTTCCTATACGAATATACAGAAGTAATATGTTATACTAGATATATTATATTATATGCAGTGACGGGTTTAAGGGTTCAAATAAAATTGGTATATCCATAAGAAGCCTCTTGCAAAATGTATTAATTAATACTCGTAATATACCAGCCCCCATTTTACACTTAAGCCTTGAAAAAGTCGTTCATAAGATCGTTCATATGAAGAATTTATTTTGCTTCATACTCTAAGGAAAGTAAGGCTAAAGTGCTTGTTCGATTTTGAACCAAAGTAAGACGAAGCTAATTTTATAATATTTTAATCAATTAATCTAATGAAAAAACTATATAATTTGATTTTTGATTACATTATTTTATTTATCAATAAGATTAATTCAGTAGTCACCAAAATGTTTTATAAAAATTGCTATAAATAATGTTGTTAAGATATTAAATTAATAAAAAAAATTGCATAGAATATTTGTGAATATATATGTTAGTGCTCTTGATACCCCGGATACCCGGGTACCCGGGTTTTACGGGTATTACCCGATTTACAACATTTCAGGTACCCATTATGGATTGGGTACCCGTTATGAATCGAGTACCCGTTATGGTTAGTATACTCATTACTAGAGCTGGGATTTGTATGTAAATACATATTTTTCTAAAACATGTTAATTTTCATTATCTTTTTTTTTTCGTTGCACAGATAAATAACTGCTATAAATAGATATTATTTTTTACAACTTTACAATAATTTACTGTTTAAATTTATATTACAGTAAATTAGTAGCTATATGAATATAAAAACAACATAGTTAACAAAACTTTTCAAACACCTAACAATATAATTATTCAATTATTATAATTTTTCTACAGTTATTTATTTTAAGTTCAAAGCGTAACAATGAAACTATGAATATATTACACGTTATTAATAATATCATATTTTTTTTTTTTGGCCCTAGGGATGGGTTTGAACGCCTCCTCCCTTCCACCGTATGTACGCCACTGACTGTGATTACTTATTATTATCTGCGTAGCTATACACATAAAAGGTAACGAATACGGTTACTATATCCGTTATCTGCAAGATTTAAATATAGGCTTTATAATAGCTTTTAACATGTTATTAGACATTGTACTTGAACAAACTAATTATTGTAATATAATATCACTAATAACACTCACATAAAATACTAAAGATTTATTTTTAAAACGTAATTTTGTTAATTTAAAAGAGGAAATAATTTAATATTTTTTATTCGAATAATTGTGTAATGTATAATTTAATACTGATTACCTCTTAGCAGTTAAGTCTTAGCTAAATCGTTTACGTATATCAAAAACCATCGGGTACTCGAACATTTTGGGTAATGGGTACCCACTATCCGAAAACGTTGACTACCCTCCAAATCGGTTATTACCCACATTAAATCAAGAGCACTAATATATATGTAATATACAATATATTTACATTTATATTTCTTTCAAGGCCATACAATAGAAGGTAATAAAATGGATGCTAGTAATTTAGCAACGTTATTCGCACCAAACATACTTCATAAGTCTTTAAAAGAAATTACTACAAATGATTTAAGCGAAGAAATGACTATGGAAAGAAGATTAGCAATCGACGTAGTAACGGCTTTAATTGTCAATTGCGACTATTTATTTAAGGTATAGTAAAATATTTTATACATATAAAGGGAAATCTAATATTAATAGTTTAAAAATAAGTTTATTTATAATATATTAAAACGCTGAAAATAAAACTGGGTCAGTAGAAGACAAATAATATAAACTCAAATAAACGAAGAATGAAATAATTTAATTTAAAAAATAAAAAACTAATTGTTTGTGAAGAATTACTGTACTGTATATTTTTTTCCAAAATCATAAATCATTAATACCTTTAAAATTAAAATCAAATTCAACTATATTTATATACAAACTTCATTTTTAGTTCTGAGCAAAGTAAGTTTTGTTTCAAGACATATGTTATTAATTTTAAGACAAATTATGCCAAAATTAATTAAAATAATAACTATAGTGTTGATATAATTATACACTAATATAATTATTAATAATATAAGTAACATTAGTTAATTATTTGTAAAACAAATATACATATATTACACTCGAGATAACTTTAATAATGCAATAAACAACATTTTGAAGTGAAAAAATGTCGGATTAACTTTATAATATATTTTTTAAACAGTAATTTTTTGACAAACTGCGTTCATTATTCAAGTCAACCTATATTTTTTTATAAATTAAAGTTAATCAGAATATATTTTGGAAACAATTTAAATAACATCTCTTTTTTTAATCGTTATAAGATTTTTATATTTTTACAAGTATTAAATGTTTTTCAGAACTTATGATTTTTTAATTAAAAATTAGCCTGATATTTGATATCTAAAAATCACAGTCTTAAAATACTATTCTTCTTTGGATATTGAAATTAAGAATATTATACTCCTGTAAAAATGATTTAATTTAACAAATAATATAAAATCATTTTTCAAAAACATAAATTAACAAATATAATAAGTGATACTTCACAAAATAAATCATCGTATACTTTATTATCTAATCAAACTACATAACAGTAACTTGAAAAAACATCAAAGTAGAATATACTCTGTATTTTAACGTATATAAAGATATAAATAATCACGGAAATCGTAAATCAAATAAATAAACGATGATTAGGCACTTGTACTGGTATTTTAATATTGGATGTATTTTAATATATATGTATTTATATATTTTTTTAAATATTTCTCCGTTCATTTTATAATTATATATTTTATTTAATTATGAATGCACTTAACAATAGAATAAAATTGAAATTTCAATATTTTAATTTAAAATACATTTTTTTTAAATTTTTGAAGCTTATTAAAAATAATTAATATAATTTAAATAGTTTTTTAAATAGAAAAAAAATTGAAAAAATTTGAATGCCTCGTGAATACTATCATCTAATACAGGTTCTTATACTATCAAATTAAAACCTACTAGAAAATAGTTACTACTAATTTAATATTCGCAAACGTTTTTATATAAAAAAATAATAAATATTCGAATTTTTCCTTCGTGATTTATACATTTTCCTAAATAAAAGTATTTTTTAAGGTACCAGCTGAACTTCTCGATGAAGTATATGTTCATATGCTAGATACAAACCCTGAAGGTCTAGACAATGTGATGAAATTACGATTTTCGAGCGTCGAGAAAACTATCCAGTAATTTTAATACTGTTGTGTGCGTTATTGTTTAAGATACTAAAAAAATATAAGTAATTTCAATAGTAAAATTAAAGTTTTATATTTTATATAATGTTTTAAATTTGTATAATTTACATTAAATTATATTTAAAACTAACTGCTGTTTCTATATTCTCAGTAAGCAATTACTAACACATTGTGATGATTTTAAATTAAACAGATATAAGTCAATAACCTTTTTTTTTCTTTTTATTTTAGAAACCCTAACATTAATTTGTAGGATTCTATAAATTCTAATTTTATATTTTAACGTTAATTAGTCATTTTTCAAATTCAAATAATTTACTAAAAGTAAAGTCAGAAAAATATACTTTTATAATCAATATTATAAGATTAATTGGATATTCTAGAAAACCTTCATGCTTACAGATATGTAATGTGTTGGAAAAATAAATAATAATATTAACATATGATTTAATAAAATATAACTTAAAGTTTTAATACTTCAAATATAATTTTATTAAAAACTATATATTTAGTATTATAATGCTATACCACTTATGTAGATTTAAAAAAATGTGTTTTTTAATTAAATATTTCTCACACTTAAGACTAACATAAATTTATTTATAAAAAACTAATAGTTTCACGGTGCTCCGAATTATTGTAAGTAGTAAAGTTACAATTTTTTTACTGCTTTTGCTATAGCATTACAATGTAAAACGCTGTGGAATGCATTCTATGGAGAACATATATTCACATTTTGTTTAATAGTATATCATTATTTATAACCTTAAATCACATAATGCATTATTTATTTATTTATTTTATATTTTTCGTTAGAAATGGATCCAATCAAGATTCAAAAGAAACTTTATTAAACGTACAAGATATAAGTGGGATAAATAATGTTGAAGTTGAATCATCTAAGCCATCAGAAACTCAAGAAAAAAAAATTTGGACAAGAGGTGAATTTACTCACCAAAATTCTGGAATCGGTGGTTCAGATGATAATGAAGAATACAGATATAAGTATGAACTTTCAAAAATAATATTATATTTTTAATTTTTAGCTGTTATTTAATATAACTATTGCCTTTTGGTTATTTTACATTTAACTTGGCATACAATTTTAGACCTAGGGAACGAGAAACTCGAAGAAGTCGAAGTAAAGGTGTAGCTGCATTTTTCCCAGATGATGTTGAAACATTTACTTATCCAGTATTCGAACGAATGCAAATGAATAGGAAATCTGAAAAATCCTCAAATAATCAAACACATGCTAACGGAAACCAAGTAAGTTTTGTCAAAATGAATATTAATCTTCTTTCAATATTTTTAATAAATATATACAAGCTATTTGTCTTGTTGAGTGGATATGTAAGCTGCATACAGTTAGTTAATTTCAAAATAATAAATAATTTTGATTACATTTTACTTTAACGTTAATATTTAAAAATACCTATAATAAAATATAGAAATTTACAGTGTTTATAAATAATTTAAATAATATTTCAAAATAAACAAAGTTATTCATAAAATATAGTTTTTAAAATACTGCATTCATAAATATAAGTTATAAAAAATTGTAAATTAATTAATGTATAATATTGTACCTACTTTTATTTTTATTACAGCAATATTATTTTCTTCCAAAATATTGAAAAGTAAATTTTAACTCACACCATAGTTTTTTGATAAAACCATAATTTTAATATACTTAAGCGTGTGCAGACATAACTGGCAAGGTAGTCAAACATAACACATTATCATTTAATATTAACAAAAAATTTGCATTCGTAACTTCATTTAACTTAAAAACTATATTTCTCCAGTATTCATACATTTTTTTTAACGTTAACTAATGTTTCGAAGTGGTTGAAAATAATATGTTTATTTATTATTGTGATCATATTGAATATTTTGGTGAGGGTGGGAAGTTTCACAGAATAGTCAAGTACCTACCCTGACTACCCCGTGTGCACGCTTATGGTAATATACTATATGAATATGAACACAAATGTCACAAATTATATGAACCGTTTTCACGTATTGTGTCATAAATGGCACATAGTTTATTTTACTTATAACTTGCAAACTATTATAACTAAAAAATATAATATTTTGGAATGAAAAATTCAACTGGCTAGCTAATATTTTTTTGTCGATGATCGGTGATAAAGAAGTTCTGATATGGATATTATAAATGTTATGCTATATATACGCTATATATAGTACGCAATTTTAACGGTAGGTTTTAAACAATTATTATAAAATATTTAACGTGGAATGACCGCTTGATTAATAACTTAGTTTCAATTAATTATAAACTAAAATTAAACAATTTAAACAACGCGAAATCAATGCAAAATAAACCAAACTTTAAATAAACTCAGAATCCACCGTGGATTTAAAGTTTATAAATGTATAATCCACTATAGTGCGCACTGGGTAGTTAAATTACATATAAAACATAAATTGATAATATTATAATAAATAATATATTAGTATAATCAGGAATTTAATTTGACTTGAAAGATATATTTACATGTTAGTATTATTAAACACTTGGTTTAATAATAAAAATAAGTTGCCAAATTTCATTAAATATATGATTTTCCTTTGTCACTCCGCATATTTAAAATCTTAGGAAATTTGAACTTTCAGCGAAGTTATGGCACTTTTTTTTATAATAATAAATCTAGGTAAGATATTCTATGATATAATTATATATTTCATATACGAGTAATATAGGTGTAATATAATGAGGTATAACTCAGTTTGTTACGGGAATTAAGTATATTTGCGTACACTTATAACATAGTACCCGTTCAATTATCAGTTTTGATTTAGGTAAATGAATATGATGGAGTTATAACAGCCAGTTTGATGATACCAGTACCAATGAAACAATCATCAAACCTTTCACATCCCTTAAATGTAGAAGACACTGATATACCGTTTATTGAAGACGAAAGCAGACACACTAATAGTAAGTAATATGCATTATTAATAACACGAAGGGAAATATATATATAAATACAGAAATGTTTTAATAACCGAAGAAAATTAAAAAGTAGATTTTCAGATATTATTTCATTGTAAATACTTAATAATTATCAAATTGTGAAAATAAAATAGCCCTATTTTAGGTTCTGCAACAAATTGTCATCGTATGTTAGCCACGGTATCGTCAGATAGCAGTACAGTATCCAGTCCACCGACATCACCTGATAATATCTCTGGAACAACAAATTATTCTCAAGATTATTATCATAAAAAGAACACTAAATCAGATCATAGAAGTACACAATCCAACAAAGATTTGTCAAAAGACGTTGACCCTGATCATTACAAAGCAGATAAAAAAGGAAAGGAAAAAGATATAAAATTTTATCAGAAAATCTTATCCAGTACAGGTCTGGATAGGTTATCGAAAAGTGCTAGTTCTACTGGGGTTCCTAAGAATTCTATTTACAAAGATAAATTAAAACATGGACACGAAGACGCAACTTTATCGCCCGTAAGTAGTCTATTTATATAATATTATTCACTTATACACGAATTTTATTTAAACAATATAGAAATCAATTTATTTACTAACCTTTCATAATTTGAGTAAAATCTATGGTAAATAAGATTATAATATTTAAGATTTTTTTTTTTTTTCAATGTGTTCAACATTGTGTATTAGTGTATTAGATGGTGAAATATTTTATAAAATTTAAATAAATATTAACTTTTCTTAATTCTATACAAATAATATTGTATTAAAACATTAAGTACTTAAACACAAAATTGCTAATTTTATCAATAGAAATACTCATCGATATTTTAGGAATATCGATATCATTGTTACATTTCAACGTGAATTAAACTCATATAAAAATAATTACAGTGCGAAGTTGAATAATATTTTTTATATTTATGCATATTATTTGAAACTATACACGGCCATGGATTAATCTAAACGCAATTTTTCGTACACTTATAAATAAATGCTTTCAATAATAAAACCTGAATGATATTACACCATATTTCATAATATCTAATTTTATAAATAATGTATTATGTAAAAATGACTTTGATACGCTTATATTAAAATTATTGGCCTTAAAAATTAAATTAAATACTTATTTTCTTTAAGAATATGATCGCAATAAAATTTACACAATTTCACAAAATAATAATAGTCATCACTATTTATTATTTTATAAAAATAAATATAAACGTCAAATGGACAAAATGTACCACAATTTCTAAGTTTGTTTGCGGTTTTTTGATAATACTATACAATTGCTGCAAAGTTTTAAAATATAACCTTTTCAAAGTATTTCTTGATTTATTAAATCATTATACGACATTTATAGTACATAAATTTACAACCTGAAAATATATTAACAAAAAAAAAAATTACACAATAATAAAATCATGAATTTTATTATACAACAAAAACCGAAAATAATGTAGAGCTTCAAATTTTATAAATAGATATTTTTATTATTCCTCAAATTTAAATAATTATAAACATTTAAATAGTTAATGAAGCAATTTATGTGAAAGGAAATGATAAGAGAGAGTTGATGTTTTTCATACTATGTAAATATAATTTCCTAACATCACTCAATAATATGGTTTATTGATACAAATATTATCAATTTTTTTTTTTTATGGTTTTTTTGTTTAGGAGCCTGTTAAAGTATGTTCTAGTATATCGAATATTGGTGGAGCAGTTCTGCGGTCTAAAACCGCTGATATTGAACACATATTGCGAAAACAGTCAGCTTCAAAGCCGAGAAAAGTGAGCCAATCATCAGAATCTTCGGGATCGCAAGAAAAGCCCAAACGAAAGACGTCGGCTGAAGCTACGAGACATCCCCTACGGATGGATCCAGATCCAAACGTAGGTGAAAGACTAGCCGGAAGCTCGTCCTACAGGTCTCCGTCACCAACCAGAAACGTCTGGAGACGAAAAGATGTAATATCGAGCATGCCAAAATACAAAAAACCTTACAATTAAACACCGTAGAGATTATAATAGACTCCCCTACCATCCGTCTAACAAGTATATAATTTACACTCACATATCAATATTACGATTATTGTTATAGATATATGAAAATAATGTCGTTTAAAAATTATGTATAATCATATCATGATTTTCTTTCTCATTTTATTCGTAATTTTAATCGTGTAAAATTAAGTAAATGTACATAAAAAAAAACTGTAATCACTTTTGAAAAACATCTTAATAATAATACACACTCGTTTTGTGCTTACTAATTATTATACTTTTTATACTTTTTAATTTTAATGTTTATGTTTTTTTTTTTTTTATATAATTTTATCATATTTAATAAAATATAAATATATTTTACGATTAAAATTTGAGTCCTCTGAAAGTTTTAATCTTAATTTGTTAAAATGTTACCGGTTACATGATTATTTTAATTATATTTATTATTATTATTATTATTATTATTATTATTATTATTATTATTATGTTATTATTTATTTTTTTAATTCTTTTTTAAAGACAGTAAAATGAAACGTGAACGAAACGTATATTTAGCTTTGTAATAATGGTTGTGCACTTATAATTACAACATGTTGTTCTATCATCATCATCAATGTTGTTTATTAACTTAAGGTTTCTTTTGATCATTAAAGACAGTGTTTAAATGTATATAGTTATACTATTCAAGAACAAAAATGTTTAATTACAATATTACATTTTCATTTTTTTTTCCATTTTTACCTATAGTGAATTTGTATAAAATAATTAATAAAAACCAAAGTGTAAAGTGTACTCAAATACAGACTAAAGTATAACGAAAAAAAATATCGTATATTTTATTTTTTTATACGTAGAAAATCATTATCATGTAATCTCATATATAAAATCACATCTGGACAAATACTTATATGTAAAATTTCATTCATAAACTATATATATCTAGAATCAGTGCCGGAGTAAGCGTCGGGGAGAACGTTTCACGTGCCCAAGGCCCCGCGGATTTGGGACTCCGTTATAGTGCTCCCACCTGAATGAAACTAAAAAAAAAAATGTACCCAAGACATACTCACAACATATTACCCAAAATACTCAAGTATCACAAGAAATTTTACTTAATTTCTACTAGATTCTTTTCATTAGATACATTGAAAATATAATGTTTGTTAAAACTAAAATACTCAACGTTTTTATCTTCTTTATTGGTTTATCGTATATTCGTATTTAACGTAACCACTAATATGTATATATAGTATTAATACTAATACTTGGTTACTTTTTACAAAAAATATAAATAAATTTGATTCGATCAAATAAATACAATTAATGAAGTTTTTGGATTTTTGTATGATGTTGAGAAACTTTGTCATGTCCCTGATTTAGAAATTGTAAATTTCTACAAAGATTTGGAAATGCGTTTGTCAGTGAATGACAAAAAAGATATAAATGGTTATGATTTACATGAAGGAATATTAATTTTTCGCCATTTAATTGATAAAAATTCTACACCACGTCAAATAGGTAGTATCTGAAATAAAAAAAATGAACACATTTCCCAACTTGAATATTGCAATTCGAATTATGTTAACAATTCCATTTACTCAGCTGGAGCAGAGAGAACTAATTCTCTAAATTATAACATATTTACGAAGTACCATGTCACAAGAAAGACTTACTGGACTTGCTACAATTTGTATAGAAAAATAACTTTCAGAACAACTAAATTATGAAGACATTATAAGTAACTTTGCATCCAAAAAAGCTAGAAAAATTAAAGAATTATAATTCATAACTAACAATATTTTATTTTAACAATGTATTGTGTATTTAAAATATTATAAATTGTTCGGTACTCATTTTTTTTTAAACTTCTTTTATAAATTAAAGTAATTAATTATTTACTAGTTATTATAAATTAATTTATTAAAAGTAATTATTAATAATATTTGTATTTTGAGTTTTTTTAATAATGATTAAGATGATCAGTTTATTTATCATGCAAATAATATAATACCTAACTATTGTACACTAATTGCTTGTTTATAAATCGAAGGACAAAATTATATTTTGGATTAAATCTATAATTAGTTTAGAATGGCGATTTAATGTATAAGATACGAATGAGGGCCCCACGTTTTTATTTGCCCCAGGCCCCGCAAAACCTTCCTCCAGCACTGTTTAGAATCATAAGCGTGTTCAAAATTTTTTGGTCGAGAAGGTATAATGAATTTTTAAATCACGAGATTTATTTATTTATTTTTAAACATAAAGAAATATTTATTTTTTATGTTAAAAAACTATAGAAATTATAGTAATATTTTTTAATTAACACCATTTACTATAACCATTGGCTTGTCACAACAATAAAAATACATTTAAAACTAAAATAAAAACACATACATTATACTACTGCACTGTACGCTACTGGTATTATTGGTATTGAGTACAGACCGCACGACTGATCTGGGCATAACTTTTTTGGCGATACATTGTCCACCCGAACACTACCATATAGATGAATATGCCTAGAATTATAAATAAAAACTCTAATCTTAAAGAAATAATTTCAATAGTTTTAAAATCATATTGTTGTAACAATGTAATTTTCAAAAATATTTTCCTTTTATATTTTCCATAGTTTTTCATCACACATAGTTTTCTACAATCTTATTTTTGTTCAATATATCTGTTCTAAAAATGTTTCCTAAATAAAATTAATAAAATTATATAAATTATAATAAAATATATATATTAATTATATATAATTAATATAATTATATATTAAAATTATATAATATATAATAATATTATATATTATTATAATTATATTATATAATAAAATTATGTACGTGAAATATTAATATTTTAACTATTACTAATTCAAAAAATAAATAAAATTTATGTTAGTAGATATGTTATTAAAAAAGAAATTTAAAAACACCATGGAACATACAATTATTTAACATGATTATTATTTATATACTTATACATTTTATAACACGAAAAGTAACCTTAGTAACCATTATTGACGATCGATAAATAGTTATTTTTCTATGAAAGTCTAAACATTAAACTACACATTCATTTTTTGTTCAAAAAATTAATTTATGTTAATCTGGAAATGTCTAAAAAAAAACAAGATATAACAATAGAAGAAGAGACTGATGAAGACTTTATGACAAGAATTACTCAACCTAGAATATGGACAACTTTCAAATCGGATTTCCTTTTTCAAGTATTTACAGATGAACGGATGGATGAAATTTTAGATATGTTTAAAGTAAATATATTTATTTGCTTATTAAACTAAATATTTGGTAATAATTATTTAATAAATTACTGACTTATATATTTGAACATTTTTGTATAATTTGAGATTTTTTTTATAACATAATAATAATTTAAAATATATTTATAACATTTTTTATAACATATTATATTTATTCGAAATACATTCAATCATTAAGAATAGCTGAGATTAACTAAATAAAAATTAAATAACTTTCTAAATTAAGATTTTATCAAAACTGTTATCATATTTAAGCATATTTTATTGAAAGGTGGATAATTAAATAAAGATAAGGTACAGTTATAATATAGATATTTTATTAAATTTTCAAATGTGGTTTAAATCGATTCAATGAAATGAATAACTATGATAAAAATGATAATTACTAATTAGTTAGTTTATTATTCAGAAGTATAATGTTTCTGATATACGAATTTTATGTATACTCTTTACTTATATTTCATAAATATACCTAGAAAAACTTGATAAAATATTTTAAAGTAAAAATACTTAATTATTTTAGTACATATTAATCATACATAAAAATATAAAAAAAATCATACATAAATATATTTCATCAAAGAATATTTTAATATTCATTAAACATTGATTTGTTTTGACTTTTAAAAAAAAATGTGATTCATTCATTATAAGGCGCATCGAATAAAAACTTTTAATTATACTATATAAAATTTAAAAGTTAATACAAGTACTTCATATATTTACCATAAAAATTCGATAACTTATTTCAATTTAATAAATATATTATATAACACACCTGTTTATTTTACATATCCTAAAAAAATAATTATGGATTTATTTTATCAAATTTTGAACACCTTTAATATTTCAAACATAATTATAACTTTAATTAACACTATTTATTTTTTAATTAATAGATATATTGTGATTAATTACACAAAATAAATCTGTCTTTTAATTTCAGAATAATTATATTCACGAAGAATCTTTGTGTGTCTATAATGAGTTGTCGTCGGATCAAGACTCTGTTGATCAATTTTTGTACTTAGTTAAACACTGGATCTCTGATACTTTATCCACAATTGTGATCGAGAAGAGTTCTGGAAGAAGTGTTGGAATAATAATTTGCAGATTTTGTTCGATTGAAGAAAATTCATTGGAGTTTAGTAGACTGAGAGTAATAAACAAATTTATCCTATACATCTTATTTATATATTGTATTATCGTATCGTCTTCGATAACACAATACAATAAAAAAAATTAAATTAATTAATATAAAAAATTAGGTATAGGTATTGTATACAATATATATAATATATATGCGATACAAAAAAAAAAAAATAATTTAAATTAAATGTATTATTAAGTTATTTAAATCTTATTTCATTTTGGTATATATTTCTAGTACACGTTGTCAAGTATCCTAACAACATATATTTAATTTTCTAAAAATATAATTTATCTGTTGACTATGGAATAAAATATAAGCCTATATAATATATTTCAGTTTAATCTATAAGTCCATTGAAACAGTCATAAACGTAACTTTTTTAGTGAATTTATAATTAAAATAAAACATTTTATAACATTTAAAAATAGATTTTCTTTATTTTATTTTTATTAAATTATATGACATAATATTTTAGTTATACGAAGGTGAAAAGTGGAATATAATTCAAAATTTCAGAAGTCATTTGAGTCAAAAATTTAACATATATCAATATTATAAATCGACTGCTTTCTTCAGGGTATATGCTTGGTTTATTCTTCCTTCATTTAGAAATCAAGGTAAATGGTTAATCTTTTAGTTAATTAAAAATCAATTAAAAACAAAATATAATTAGTTATATCTCATAGTCATAATTGAAAAAAACTATACCAACTTTTATACATTTAAATTTATGTAATATTTGTTTTAAAAATATTTCAGTTTAATACTGTAAACATGAACTTTTATTTCAATAACTAATTAATTTTTTAATATAGGGTTGGGTAAAAAATTACTGGACTGTGTGATCACTAAACAATTACCCGAAATGATGCATTTTGGTTGCAATTTAATATCTGGGATATTCACAAATAAAAAAAGTCAAGAAATAGCTAAATCACTCGGGTTAACAACCCTGTATAAAGCTAATTATATCGAATGGGCCAATCAAAACAATATCAATTTACCAGATAATATATCGGATGAAAATTCAATCGTTCGTGTAATGGGATATAAAATAAATCAAGAATAATCCTATAAAGGATAGTATTATAAATAAGTTTTATGAAACTTACACGTTATTTTTAATTTAAATTCATTAAAAATTTATCTAAATAATATAACTTTTTTTTTCTTGTTACATATATGCTCAATCATAAATTATAGTCATTGTTTATGTTGTATACCTCATAAATATTAAACAAAAGGTTTTAGTCAAGCACAAACCTTAATTGAGTACACCTTATGTGGTATAACTATCGAAGAAAATATAAAAAATAGTCGCCAAAATAAAAATAAAACAACCTTGCATCAGAAATAATAAAAATATTATAAGTATATAAATTTGTTAAAAGAATAATTATTTTCGTTTATATTTAAATCATTGTATGTATAATTTTTAATTAATTATGAATAACCAAGAATCCAAAAGACAAATAAATCATTATCATTTTCTTTAAAATATAATAATATAAGATTATATTTTTATAAAAAAATAAAATTGTTTCATAGTAAATATTCTAAAAATAATAATAAAATATTATTAAATGTGCATATAAATAATTAATTAAAGTGTATGAATTATTTAGTATTAAAAATAATCTAAATATAAGATATCAAAATAAAAAATTTTACTTGAAGTATTGTTTAATATACAAATATTTATGACTGGTTTCTTAACAATTAAAAAAATCATCGTCAGATATAGCAGAATATATAAATGACACTTACTATTGTAAATGTAATTTAATAATAAATTAATATAATGAAATAATTATTACTTTAATATTACCAATCATAACACATAATATGTGCATATTATGTCAATACAAAAAATTAGCAGATAATGTATAAATATTAGTATACAACCATTATAATAGAATACACTTAAATATTTGTCTTATCTTAAACATTTGATTAAAATATATAAATAATTGAGATCTTATAAGGTATATAATTTATTAATCGAAAAACTTACGTTAAGTAGTTTAATATATAATTAAATAATAAAAAATTGAATTAAAATTAAAAAAAATTTAAATTCTTTATGTACTCGTATATAAACATATACATAATATATATATATCAGATATTATAAATGAGTTATACTTTAAGCCTTGTGCAGGTAACAGCATTCAAAAATTACATTGACCATTTACTTTATGTTTACGACCGTTTTTATTTGTTTATAAGTTTTATTTGAAAATAATACCAATTTTTTTTTTTTTTTGTATTATATACTTATCATTTTTTATTTTTAAGAAAGTAATCCGTATCAATTAGGAGTATTGAAAGATTTTTTAATCCAGTTTGTCATATTAAAGTGACATACATGACATTAAATGTCGAATTTTTATAAAATCTGAAAATATTTAATACATTTACAAATTATTCCTTTCATTTAAACCTTATAACACTATTAAAATTATATTTTCACGATTAAATCAAACAATGCATCAATGCATTTGGTACCCAATTCACTTTAGATTGAAAATTAAAAAAAAACCAATACTTCATAAGACGTATGCAATGCTTACCTAGACTAGAGAAATATCGAATCAATAGTACTTCAATTCAATGATTTTAATAGATCATTTAATTTCATAGCATGTGTCACAACACGTGACTTAAACAATGGTAAACCATCAATACTTCATAATATTTATTATCGTAATCAAGTAATACGTTATCAATTAAAAATTTTAAATAGGTAATTCATGTAATGATACTAAATGTAAATAAATAGTAAGTGATTAATTAGAACTATCATCTCATCAAATATACGATATATCGTATCAACAATAACTTTAATACAACCCATTTTTTTTTAAATTTACTATCTATTACTATTCTCTTATTATGAATATGGTTGTATACATATAACATTTTATTTTCCTATTTTATAATATTAGTCTAATGTTATACAACTAACATCATGTATTATAATTAATCGTTTTCTACAGACTACTAATCTTCTAATCTACCTCAGGTATGATAATCGGTTCATGATGTTATTTCTAAAAAAGTTTTTATTCGTGTATAAAATGTTATAATTTTTTTGTTTAAAATTCCCAGATTGCATGCAGTTGATTAGCCAAAAAGCAGAGGAGAAACTTTTTTCTTTTCTTGTTTACTGAAGGTAGTAGTGACCTTTTTTTAAACTGTACGTTTTTTTTTTTTTTTATTATATAATATATCGGCGGCTTCTATGGCCGTTGGACATTACAATGTTTGAGACTTAATACATAATGAAAATAAACTTATTACTTAATCTTTTATAAAATAAACAAATATATTGGTGACAGGTTGGTTACAGGAGGTTGATGAGGTGTGTATCTGTGAGGAATTGGCAGAGCTTGACGATATTGTCTGGTTCAGGGCTTAATGTTTCAGTCAGGTGATAAGATATCCGCTGCTTAATTCTCTCCGTATTGTGTGCGTTGCATTCGGTGATTATATGTTTGACTGTAAGAGGGACTCCACAGCATATGCAAATGGGGGGTCATCTTTCTTCATTAAGTGTGCGTGTGTAAGACATGTGTGTCCGATTCTGAGGTGGTTAGTAGCAGTCTCATATTTTCTTAGGGTGTTGACAGGAAAAGTCCAGGATAGTATTGACCTTTTAATTTCATTAAGCTTCGTGATCATTTTGTTTCATTGTGTTTCCCATTATTGACGTGTATCCCTTTCGATGACATTTTTTATATCGCTGTAAGAGAAGATGTAGGAATAGGGAATATTAGTATTTGTATGAGCTTGTTTGGCGGCCTTGTCCGCACGTTCGTTACCATCAATGTTATAGTGACTAGGAATCTATGAGTATGAAATGTTTTTGCCTGATAACTGTGCTTTTTAGTGGGCGTTATAAATTTTCCTGACGATTTCGGTAGGATTTTGGACATTTTTAAGACTAGTAAGAGTAGATAATGAATCACTATAAATTGTGATATTGTTATAATTGATTTCTGAAATAGTGTATTCGATAGCTTTGAAAATGGCTAGAGTTTCAGCTATACATATATCCATATATGAAGCATTTGTCCGAGAGTCTCCATTGGATCTGGTTCTCATCATGAATGATGGTCATACCAACTCTGCCCTCCGAAAGAGAAGCGTCGGTATATATTTGTGTATGAATATGAGATAGTGAGAGTTTTTCCTTGAATAGGTTTTTAAATGTGTTGGGGCATGTGAACTTTTTTGGGAATTGGTGCAGGTCCAGATCAATATTCATTGTAAAAGACCAATGTGAACATAAAGGTGTACGTTCTTAATATGATGCTGTGTGAAAATCCTTACTCAAAGAGCGTACACTTGGCTGGTTAAGTGCAACACTAATGAAACTTAACATTAGAACACTAATGTGAAGAACATTTTTCTTTACAATTGACGCAACGAGATTTATAGTAGAGCGATGTATTAGTGTGTGTACGATTGTGCACCGCGTCTGTTGTGAAGTGTCTTAATGATTACTCTCGTATTAACTATTGTGTTAATGTATCACTCGTATTATTATTAGTCTATAGATATTGTAAGCATTATTTTAATGTCCACAAAAAATAATGGACGGGTAAGATAATCATTTTTTAATTATAACGTGCTGTAATAAATAACCTATTTCTTTCGAACAGAGCATATTTTGAACGCATAGAATAGAACAATGCAGATTTTTGGTTACAATCCTCTGCGGATCAAGTATCGAAGAAGAAAATAACGAAAACTAATGTTGACTTCTTCTAAATGAACTTGAATTTCGTTGTAATCGATAACATTGTTGGTTTTTTAATTATATATATATATATATATATATATATATATATATATATATATATATGCAAAAGACCACTCGGCCGCCCAAGAAAAAGATGGGTAGATAGGGTCCATGAAGACTTGGATATGCTGGGAATCTTGAACGGTGAAGAGCTAGCCACGGATAGAGATAGATGGAGGGAAGTGGTGGTTGCGGTGAAGGACCTGAACGGTCTATATTAAGCCAAAAAAAAAAAATATATATATATATATATAGGCGTAAACTTAAATCGGCTTGATATAGATAGCTTTTTTATCTTTGTTAGTGTGTCGTTGAAGGTAGAAAAATTGAAAATATTTTTTGTGTTTATAACCGGAACCTTAAACTCGACTTAAGAGTTTTTGTTAGATAATAGTATAAATATTATCTAATTCATCTGTGACATTGATTGAAGACGAAACAAAAACATTATCATTAATGTGTTCAGAGGCAAGAACGGTAAAGTGGTTCGGGAAGATAAAAGTTGTTAACTTTTCATTATTTTGATGTGGTGAGTTTAACGAGTTAAAATGAACACATTTAGAAGATGTAGGTGTACTAGGCAAATCAAAACTGGTTTCCTGACTCTTAATTACCGAAATAAAACGAATAAACGTGTATTGTATTATACTTGCAAACTAAACACGATAATATAACATGTATAAAGCCTTTACTATATTGGATATGTATAAAAAACTGTATTTACTGTTTTAACATAGGAATTGTAAATGTATTCTTTAAACACGTTTGCCATATACTACCAAAAAATTTTAAATCTGACATTACATCTTTTAAATCATAATGTTAATGGTAAAATAACCAAAAGTTAATGAATTAATTTTTTCAACTAAATATAATGTCATAGATATCAAGATAATTAAAATAGTTGAAAGTTTATTTTAATAAAAAATAATAATTACCAGCTTACAGAGTTAGTCAATTATGGCATTTTTTGGTGCTCTTTTTTAGGACTTAAGTTAACTTAGGTTAACCTACGTGTAGGAAAATAAGCAAAACTGATATTGAAAACCGGTATATACTTTAATGAGTATACTCAAGATAAACTAGATGGCTTAAAATTAATATCTTATCATTATCATTTGGATATAAGTTGTAAAATAAGGATGAAAAAATAATGAATTAACTTGATGATCTAATATGTACTTAAGTTGGTCGTGCTTAGTTTTAATTTTTAAAACATTAATATTACATCCACTCGATATATTATATATGTTATATGCGTTAATTCAAGAGGTTATATGATATGCATAATATATAAATACAACTTACTCCTAACAAAAAAAATTAGTATTGCATTGATGCGAATATCTAATTAGAATGAGCTGAAAATTCGATTAGTACTATACTGTACTCTATTTTTTTTTTTTTTTTTTTTATAAACAAATAACGATAGCCACATTCTCAAAATGCTGAACACTAAAATTATTCGCCATTTAAAACTTGTAAGTATAAACTAATACAAAAATAAAGTATTTAACCTAGTAATTTAAACTAATTCAATTTGTATTAAAATTTTAGTCATTATGTACATGTTTAATATCATACATTCAATTTGTTATTGGCTGTTCTCTCGTATTTTCATCTATTCTTTTAGCAAAACTAAAAGAACCGACGAGTCACATCAAAATAAATATCGAAGAAGAATCATGGATAGGTATGAAACTATTTTATAATTAAATAATATTTTTAGTTTTATAATTTTCTTTATAATACAGAAAAGAATCAGTTATTTTAACTTTCTACTTAATAAGATAATTGTCTCTCAACATAATCTGCTAAACATACATTTGTGGTTTCCAACTGATATAGAATTGTTGTAGACAAATTTTATTTAAAATGTATAAAACATGATGGGCTACTATATTTACAATTTGTCATGTTACATAACATTTTTAATCACAAAATAGTTCATAATTTATAAAATGTAATATGTATATGAACAATGATAGAACTAGTTTACATTTATCGCATACAATTCAGAATAATTAAATTTCTTAAATTTTAACTTTCAACCCCAATTTTATAATATAGTAGTTCAATGATAAATTTATTTAAATTAATTTTAATTTAATTTAAAAAAGATCGAAACTCCTAGATTGAATATATAAAATACAAAAATGAGTGAATTATTGTCTTAATTTTTTAACTTGTAACTAATATAACATTTCCCCTAAAAAAACAATTCTGGATGAAAGAAATCGAATGAATCAGCTTATACTACTTAAGAATTTTGAAATAATATAGTAGAACCAAACTTCTTAATAATGTAGGTTGAAAATGTTGATGTTCTATCTTTTAAAGAATGGCATCTAGGTATTAAGTAAATTATATTAAAATGTTATTACATCGACCCATGTTATCTAATTACAACCAATTAAAATTTGGAAAATATCGAGCATTTTATGTGTCTATAAACAGCATAAATTTCACTAAATTTCCTAACTATAAAATATTTTTAAAGTACTAATTTAAAATATGAATAAATATTTGAAGTCGCTACAATTAATATTTTTAAATTATAATTAAATAACTAATATCATTCAAATATCTGATTTCATTAAAATATCATTTTGTAACGCTTACATGCATTTTTTTCGATTTTTCAAGTGAGTAACTAATATTCTTAAACGAAAAAATATATATTTAAATTATGTAAAACTGCATAATCATGGCCTTAGTTTTTTATTTATTTTGAAAATAAAAGCAGGTACGTAAACTAAAATAAAATATAATATAATTTTAAATTTCAGCTAGTGTTCCAATACTTATATGCCCTATTGGTTTACTTGTAATTGGTGTCTTAGCGGATAAAATTGGCAGAAGAAAAGCACTTCAAATTGCTTACATACCTCTAATTACAAGTTGGTTAGTACTTGCATATGCCAATTCTTTAAAATCCATAATAATTGGAAGAATTATACTTGGAATTTCTCTAGGTAAGTAAGGTGTATAAATATATATTAACTAAATGAAATATAATATGTTGTATAAACTACAGGTGTTTATTGTTATCAACCCAACTAAATAAAAAGCGTAAGATATACATTTTTACGTGTTCAATTTGTAATGCGGATTATATATTGTATAAATTGATCAACAAACAAAAAATACGTTTTAATTGTGATAAATTTATTTAATAGAATAATACGATTTATTCTTTAAATAATGCATATTATTTTTTATCAATTTTTTAAAAATAAAGTTTAAATTAACAAAAGAAGAATCTTTCAGTTAAAACTAAAATAAAATAATATTATAAATTTAAAATAATAAAACAAGAGTTAGTAAACTGGATCCTAAATAACCTTTTCACGGTAAGTTGGATCCCGGAAAAAGAAAAATAATAGGTAAGTTGAGTTCCGGGAAAAATGGTAATAGGTTAAGTCCAAGGAAAACAATTTTTTTTTTTAAATATCTAATAATTTTTATGGGAAATCAATTTTAATATTATTGTGTTTTTTATTACATTTTCGGTAAAAACTTAAAAGATACGAATTTAACAAACTCAAATACAGTACGCTATGAAAAATACAGTGAAAATTTTCAGATTTCGTATACTCATGTCTGTGTATAATCATAAGAACTATCATCAATATTGGTGGTAACTGATAACTGACACATGATATACGACAAACTAATGTATGTTTATGCCTATATACGTGTCTTAATTAGGCATTATCAAAGTTACGACGTTACGAAATTATTTGATCACAATGGAATCGATAACCGATAGAAACAGTGTGAATTATCATTTGTAAAACGACTACGGCGAGGTAATATAGTAAGTAGTTGGGACTCAATTTACCTACAACCTTTTTTTCCCCCAGATCCAACTTACCTAATATTTTTTTTTCCCGGGACTCAATTTACCGCTTTCAAAATAAATAGAAAATATGGCGGACATTAAAATATTTTAATTTAAATATCCTGTTTCCTAAACTTGCAATAAAAAAAAAAAAAAAAAAAGAAAATTTACGTTATTAATAATCACTGTTTGAAAAAGTTATCAATAAAAGCGCATATAATTTATCAACATTATTAAAATTTCTATGGAAAATCACATTAATTTTTTTTTCACTTTTATTTGGAACAGCTTTGTAAATATATTAGGGGAACTGTAGGTACGCTAAAGCGTAGAAAAACTCATAGTATACATAGAAACTATCGCTGCCCATCCGACCAAGTACACACAATTCTGGAAATAGCAACACTGGACTAAATAGTGACTACGGCTAATCAATACATCACACCATGTTACAATAACAATTATTTTAAATGCGTGAATAGTGTTTGTACTTTTTTCAACTAAACTAGTTCTCAACTAATAAAATTAATAACACCAAAGCCTGATATACAAATAGATTATATATCTAATAAGTATATTTATACTCCTTATAGTTATTTTTAATGTAAAATTAAAATGAGTGTGTGTGTGTGTGTGTGTGCTTACTAAAGTAATACTATTGTTTTTTCTTTCAAATAGAAGTACTCATTTGAAATAAATCTTAGTTATAAATGTTTATTTTCAGTGGTAAAACAGATTATTTATTTAACTACATAAATATTACAAATTTCATCAATAGCAAATCATCTTTAGACTTTATTAATTAACATTATTTATGTGTTACTAAAAGTTTTAGGGCAATTTTATATTAATAATATTTTTATCTCGATTAAGTTAAGTTAAAAACTTTTGAGAAAAATGAATAATGTAATAGTTTATAAAATATAGTTTTCTATACTTATATAATATTCCTAAATGCTCAATAATGATTTTTTGTCGTATTAATGTTGCGTTAAATTATACTTACTCCGTCAACAATACCCCCTTGAAAATTTGCAATAATTCTGTAAAAGATTTAAGATTTGCCGTAACACGTAACCTGTGCCCTAATAAACATATCCAGATAATCTGTTGTAGAGCTCTAGTTGCTTGGCTTTATAAATCGTGTCTCTTCAGATTTTCACTTACTCCATTAAAATCTCTCTTCTGTTCATTACTTCGTCCCCTCCTTGAGTATGGAACCATACTCTGGGACCCATCGACCGCCTCTGCACGTAGTATGATTGAAAGGGTTCAAAGAAAATGCCTCCGTCACGCTGCTTACAAATTAAATATATCCTGTCCATATCATGACTATACACCAATCCAACGCCTGTTTTCCCTAGAGTCTCGCTGACCGTCGTCACTCAGCTAGTATTGCATTTCTTTCTTATCTTCTTTCCTTTAAAATTGATAATCACGAATCACTATCTCGTGTTTCGTTTAATGTCTCCTGTCGCCGCACACGATCATCTGTTCCGTTCCACATACCCTTATCCTCCTCAAACTACTATCTTAACTCACCGAACATCTTATACGCATTGCCAACACTGAACCTTCATTATCCCTCTAAAATTGATCCTCGTTTACTCAGAGCTTATACTATTATTTTTTATCATTGTATATTGTTTATTCTTGTATTATAGGGTTCGTCCCGTATTTTTAAATAAAATTAAATTAAAATAAAAAAATAAAATATGCTTTGTGAAGTATACAATATCGAACTTGATAGAAAAATGTCTACATTAAAATAATACGACAAACATAAACAGTGTTCGAAACGTATACTTAAAAATAGAACTCGTTCATGTTCAAGTTCTATAGTAAAATGAACGCATTCATTTAATTTTTTCTTATTTTATATTCATAAACCACCTTACCTGTCTTCTGTATAAATGAGATCTTTACAAAATGTAATAGGTATAATTTATATTCTGTTAATAACCTATTCCTAAACGTATTATAACTCATATTTATTATTTATACATATATTTTTAAATACTAAATAAATGTTAACGACCAAAAAAATCGTTTAAATTGACTAAAAATATAACCATCGTTCACGTTCATGTTCTATTTGAAAAAAACAATTAACGTTCATCTATCGTTCACAAAATATGAATGTGAACGCGTAAACTTGCGTTCATGAGTGACGTTCTTTCCAAACTCTGGGTATAAGTTATATCATATAACTTAACAATATACAAATAATACACCCTCAAACTCGACTATTTTGGTCGGTTTTGTTTTTAAAATTTCTTCTATCATGGTGTAATATTTTAACGGAAAATCGTAATTTACTCCAAAATTAAACTGTGTAGATTAGAATCTATAACGGAATTGCATGTGTTGTTAAGTCCTCATATCAAATTACAATTCGTACGTTTTACCACCTGCGATTGTGCGAATTATATAATATTTACATTTATTTTAGTGCGAATCATAGATGTACATATTTAAAAAAAATATATGTCGGCAAGAATCACACTTGTCGTATACATTTTGATGCGCATTGACACTTGATGACGAACAGGTTCGGGATTGTCGTGCACCTATCTGTACCTAGGCGAGGTGTGCCCAACCGAATACCGACAGCTGTCATTCTCCGTGGCCACGATCTTCGTGGGCGTCGGCATGATGTCCGAGTTCATATTCGCCATGTTCTTCCACTGGCAGACCGTGTCCATGATACTGTTCGTGATCAGCGTCATCGGATGCGGGTCACTTTTTCTGCTTCCGGAGACGCCGATGTGGCTGCGAAAGCAAGGGCGGATCCGCGAGGCGGAAGCGGCGAAAAAATGGCTGTGTGAGGACCGAACGGCCGCCGCCACCGTGGTCGCAGCCAACACGATTGCAGCCGCCGACGATGTGGTGGATGTAACCCGAACCGGATGGAGATTGGTGACGGAGCCGATCGTGTGGAAGCCGATGCTGCTGACGTTCACGTTCTTTGTGTGCCAGCAGGGCAGCGGCTTCTACGTGCTGCTGTTCTATTCGGTGGACATGCTGAAGGACAGCCACGTGCAGTGGGACGGGTTCACGGTCACCGTGTTTCTGTCCGTGGCCCGGGTTGTGGGTAGTCTGGTGTTCTCCATGCTGCACCACGTTCGACGGAAGACGCTCACTGTAGTCTCCGGCTGTGGCATGGCCCTATCGCTGGTCGTCATCGTCAGCTACATCCACATGTACAGGGACGTGACCGATCCACCCTACGGAATTCTTCAGATCTTCGCCTTCATCATGTACATGTTCTTCGCTCTTCTAGCCATGCTACCACTGCCTTGGATCATTTGCGGCGAAATTTTCCCGATGTCCATCAAAGGTTCGTACACGTGAAACAATTTGTCCGAAACATGCTAAACAACATAATAATAATAGCAATAACAATATATTTTATTATTCTGTCTGAAAATCATAAAATAACGGCTGGTACTGAATTGGTTCCCGATCTCCAATCCCACGTGCCGAATTGATTCCCATCTAAAAAAGGTATTTTATTAGATACAGTCGAATTAGTTCCCGTTTGAAAAAGGTAATTTTTTATGTATAGCCGAATTAGTTCCCGTTTAAATACGCACATTTTCCTTCTCGATTTTACAGGTTTAGGACTGTCAACTTTAAAGTAGGTTTGGTTAACAATGTGCGTTAATATGTGTTAAAAAAATAATATAAAATATATACAATTTAAATCGTTGATTTGGAAGTCAGCTTAGTCATCACTTAGGTATACGAAATACAAATAATAAAACATAATAAATAAAATTTAGAACCACTAATTTGCAAATTTGAATCTAACTTTCTTTAAATTTTCAATTATCGTAACCTTCTTATTAATGTACTCAGTCAAACAATTTTCCAAGTATTTGTTATTTCTTTCCTATTTGCTAGTAATTTGCTAGTCTCTAGTAATCTATAGTCTATTATATTTCTATACTCTATCTTATCGATATAATAATTGTGTCTATATGTCATACATATAGCTTTTAAAATTTTGTTTTTTGTTCTCTAAGCACTGGCCCGTTGGATTTTAATTTTTAATAGTGTAGGTAAATTGTGTTAAAAATTAAAATTGTCACTATTTTACCTGTACATAAACGGAAAATAATTCGGCTACACCTAATAAAATACCTTTTTCAAACAGTAACCAATTCGGCCAAAGGGAACCAATTCGGTTACTCCCAAAATAACACATACTTACAATATCTGTTTTACTAACAAGCTAAGAAATAATGTTAATATTCATTAGACTTCAGAATAAAAATACAAAAGTTCTAAAATTATTTGTTGTTGTTAGGTATGCATCTAATTAGTTCCCGCTCCAATATTCGAACTATTACTATACTTTTTTTTTTTTGGTTTACGGTCATTGAGACCATACCGCCAAACAAATTTCTCTCCATCTATCTCTATTTTCTGCCGCTATTCTCCATGGTATCTCTGGTTCAATGCTTTCCGCATTTCTTTTTACATAGTCTTCCCAACGTAAGCGTGGTCTTCCGAGGAGTCTCTTACCAACCGGGTTATCTTCGATTGTTGTTCTGACTATGGATCCTATTACTATTACTATACTACGGTTTATAAACGCTATTAATACATAATTATTTTATGTAAGCTCACACTATTGTTAAAAATTTAATTATAAATTACTAAATGATTCACTATTTTTCTTCTAGGTACCATATCTGGCATTATTCAAGTTTTCGCCTATGAAATTATGTTCATAGTCATTAAAATATATCCTTTCTTAGTATTGAACTATGGAATAGAATATGTTTTTACAGCATTTGCAGCCTTCTCATTGGCAAGTGCTTTTTTTGGTGCATTCGTAATGCCAGAAACGAAAGGAAAATCTCTCAATGAAATTTTAAGATCATTCGAGTCACGCAAAAAATCGATGAAAAATAATTTGCCTTGACATTGTAAATAAAATGTATCATATTACCTACATTTAATGAGATTTTTTTTCAAATAATGATTTGAGGAAGTTGTATTTTAATTTTATTACATATTATGTATTATATATTAGTTTAATAAATTAATATAATTTTATTTAACACAGAATTTAATATTTTATATTTTTATAACACTGAGTATGTTTTCACTGATATTTCTTAATTATACGTTAAATTTAAGTATATATTATTTATAATTATTTGTAAATATTTATCATTATTTTATTTCTTGTAATATACCTAAATGTAACACTTAATAAATGGAATAATAATGTATTTTTTATGTTTGTTATCATCATATTTTTGTAATATTTATGATTAATCTTTTCTTAATTAATTTTAACTTTCTGTTCAATGAACATTATAATTCTTAAATATATGATCGAACATTTAAAATCTTAATCAAATAAGCATATTTCAGTAGTACATAATTTAGTCAAGTTTTATTAATTTTAAAAGATATTTAATATTATTTTTCAGGGAATGTTTTAAATATATCAGAAAAATATAATGCTTTATTTTGCTAAATTTCATTTTTTTCAATGTTATACTATATATAATATACATATGTATGAAAAGTTTAACTTATAAAAAATAAATTTATTTGAAAAATAATAATTCTTTCCTTTCTCTATTGAAATTCTACATCATAATCTACAGTTCATTAATTAATGAATGCATGCATTCATTATATTTATTAAAGACAAATCAGAAAACATACAACAATATACATTAATTTAAAAAAAAAGTACTGAACCAATAATTGTTAAAATTAGGATGTTTCTTATAGGTGAGTGAACTAATTTATATATTTGAGGATATATAATGTAATACATATATATTTGAGGATAGTTGATATAGTAATAAAATAAAATTTCTCAATAAGTTATTTTAAATTTCTAATGGTCTAACGTTTACTAACAAAACATATGAAAAACATGAAATGTATTATATTATTTATAGAATAATAATCAAATATCAAATATATAATATTGTCTAATCAAATTCTTTAAAATACTCGATTTCGTCAATAATCATGTCTAATACTAAAAAACGTTTTCGTAGAAAACATTATGAATAATTTTGTAAATTTTCAAAATTTAAATATTAAACATGGAAATATTACAAATTATCAACTACAAAAATGTTTAGAACTTTTGTGATTTTTATCGAGTATTGTCAACATTGCTTCATTTATTTTATTAACGAGTAAAAGGTACGTATGAGCAATTTTTAATACATTTTCAAAACTTTTTTTCTAATTAAAATAATTTACCATACATTTTACGAAAACAAAAAGACAAAAAATATTAAAATTTTCAAATACTTTTAAATAAATCAAAAAAAAAAAATTTAAGTAATTTGAAAATTATACTATTTATAACGCACGGTGATATATATAATCAATACAAATTGTTCGGTGTGCTGTACATTTTAACGAATATTTTGTTTTTACTTTTTGTTGAATTTTTACAATCATAAAAAAAATATTCGGAACTTTATAAAGTTACCAGTAAAGTGCCAACTATACAAAATCACAAATGCTTTTAGAAAAAAAATTAAATTTTATGCCATTCGATTAGAATTTCCATACTAAGTATTGTAAAAAAAACCACGTTTAAATATACCTAATGATTTCCTGTGAAGATATTAAGGGTGATATGGGACTTATGGGACATACTGTATAATAATTAAAAATCAAATAAATGTCTCATTCAATTTTTGATTTAAAATGTAAATACATAGTGGCCATAACTTATTGGATTCACAATTAATTTATTTATTCAATAATAGACTCAAGACAGGCTCTCCTGATTTGTATGCTAACTAACTCACAGAAAATATCGTCTTTTGACTCACTACTCCGGTTAATGGGACCATTTGCCAACTATTAAATGATTAACAGTTGGATGGATTTCTCTCCATATTGAATTAGGAATAGGCATTATAAATATCGTTTTAACGTACTTTGAGCACTGCACTAATTGAAAAAATCCTTTATTTCAGAGATAGATTACATTTTTCTATTTTTCTATACAAACCATACATTATTTTTTTATTGTAAATTTTATTATTTCTCATTTAACTCACACATTATGTTGTTATCATACCCGTCCGGTTCTTTTTCTCATATTATTATGTTTAGCCGTTTAAGTATGAAATCGAATAATTTTTGATTACATTGATTACGATTCTGATCGGTTAACCGATTAATGCTGTGAATACCTACTAGGTGAAAAAACGACCGATTAATTGGTGTAAAAATCGATTAATCAAAACAATCGTAGTCCTATGTACACACGTACCTACGAGACGTCGCATCGCGGAATGATAATTGAAAATAAAATACTACATTATTTATTTTTATACTCGTATTGGATATCAATACGCGGAATACGATGTACCGTGGCCCGCGGGTTGCGAGGTATCACTTATGATGATTAAATGAATAATTGGGTGGGGTCTACGAACAACGTGAACGTACGCGCATGCAGATGTCACTGACAAACTAATAACGAAATATTTAGTTGGCCGTTTTTAGAACAAAAATATTACCTTACAGGAAAAGTGATCACTCATTGTAAATTCAATATTTTTACAATTTTTTTTTTTTAAAACTGATAAACAACAACATTTTACAGGCCACATTGAACTCCGATTTTGTAATTCCAATTTCAAATGAAAAAAATCTTAAAATTTACTTTTTTTTAAAGATTCATTATAAATATTGGGAATATATATCAATGAGGCCTGTAGAATGTTTTTCTCTATTAATATAAAAAAAAAAAATATCAAATTTGGTTGATTATACGGGACTGGATCCTGGAAAATTCATAAATTTAAAATAACTTTTTTAGTAGTTTTGACTTTAGGTAGTTAATAAGAAACAGTTTTTACAAAAAAAAAAAACTTAAAAATCTTATTGTATCATTTACTGCCCCTGAAGGGTTTTATTTCATAGGTAGTCTCTGCCCCTCAAAGAGTTAAAACTTCAATTGAATATACGCTTACAACTACAATCTTAATTATTTAAATAAATAATAGGTAAGTACTCACCAAATCACCGCTATTTACACCAAAATATAAAATTACGGTACAGTATAATATAATACAAAACACTATTGTCGGTTGGTTCTCTTCAGTGTTCAGCGGACAATATTCGACGTGTTCAGAAACTGAGGAGGAATGAATAATGATATCATTATTATCTATAGTAATACCGATTTCCGCCGTATTTCATGTACGTATGTATAGGGGTTAAACCATGTGTAAAAATAGTTCAGCCTCCGTGTAGTTATATGCACTTTGGCTATAGGTAGACTGGTACTAGGAAAAAAAAATTATTATTATAGGTTGACGTAGTATGGCGTATAGTGTATATAAACTTAACAATGGTTATATCAGTTATCGAAAAACGCGCGTACGTTCGCGAGACTGTGAAATAGTGAAATTGAGGAGACACTGATGATATTAATATTATTTATTATCCAATACGTAATTCGTATTTCGTATATATTATTATTTATTACATAATGTCATAATACTTAACTTACTTAGTACTTACCTATTTATTTTTAGTTATTAGTTTATACTAATAACACATCAACAAATCACGAATTGTCTCAGAACTTTGAATTTGTACTGTAAAATGTAGGTACAAAGTTGATCGCCGGACGCAGTCGTGCAAAATATATTTTGTACAACTTATGAATGTTATTATTAGGGCTCGGGACTTCTAGGAACTTGCATGTTTTTAAATAATTATCAAAAACATAGCTAAGTAATATATAAATTTGTTTCATAGCAATACAAGTTTATATTTAAAATTTATAGTTGCATGTTTTGCATATTTGACCATTTTTCATTTATAAGTGCATATTTGACCATTTTTCATTTTATATATGTATATTTGACAATTATTCATATGAAAGAGTAAGTTTTTAAATTTTATAAAAAAAAATTATGATTTATTTCTTCATATATCACGTGACTTGGAACTCAAGGTGTCTTATTGGTGCACTAACTGAATGCATTAAAATAATTAAAACTACAAAAACGTATACATTCTGCAAAAATTGAAGAATCTGCACAAGCTAAGGCTAATTATAAAAAATATCGAACATTTTAAATCGAAAAATTAATCTATGGATAAATTGCCTGCAGATATTGGTTATAGTGACCTACGATTTTTTAAGTTTGCACCAATAAGTTCCGTAGACGTGTAACGTTCCTTTTCTAAATATAAAATTATTTTGGCTGATAACAGGCAGTCATTTAAATTTTCCAACTTAAGAAATTATCTTATAGTTCAATGTAATGCTCAAGGTTAGAAGAATTATAACTATATTAAAAATAAAAAAAATATTTTCAAATTAATTTATTTTTAAAACCATTTAAATATTTTGTTTTAGATAAAAACTCAATATAAGATGAAAAAAAATTTGAAAAAAAAAAATTATCTCAGATCATCATATCTATCATATATAAAAATATTATTATAATTTATTACTAGTTAAATTTTTTTATTTAATTATTACAAATATAATTTTTTTAAATACATATTTTAATAGCATATTTATTGATTCTTTAGGGCATAAATGCATACATATTTTAAGGTTTTTAAGGGCATGAAGTCCCTAGCCCTAGTTATTATTCTTCGTCCATAATATACGATCGTTCGTAAGCATTTACGGCACTACGCATTATATTATATTATAATTATATAATATTCGTATATTATACGAACTTAATTTGGTATTTTGTACATGTGTAGCCATTATACGAAAATTGGATTTACGAATCTTTTAACCATGCAGATATTTTTCATACTAACCTAACACAGCGTACTTTATCCATATTTTTCACAGCTAAAAACTAAAAAGTACCTAAATATGTTACAATTATCTACAGAACGTATAGTATCACACTAACACGTACAGTTTATTCCAAATGAGTAGATCATTCTATTAATTTATACTTAAAAAAAGATTTACAATCAGTATACAACAAAAATACAAAAAGTAAATAGACTTTTACTATACTGGACCATTTTCAATAAAAGTAATGTTATATTAACTGCAGATTCCTTCAGATTTATAGAGTGTTTATAGGTATAGGCTTATATTATTGCTTATTTTTCAACTCTATTATATAAATATAAATGTATATTGATTATAGCTAATGTCGTGCACCCAAAGGGGATTACGACGGGTAGTGATGGAGAAGTAAGAAAACAACACTTAGAAGATTTTATTAACAAGTTTATATAACTTATTTTATTAAATAGACAAACACACTGTAACTATGAATATTGACATAAGGGAAAACTGTACAGGAGTCTAGTTGGTCACGACTAGTATTAACATTAACACAGTCAAGTTCCTTCTGTAACAATGTAATCAGATTGACTCCCAGAGCTTAGTGAGCAGGTGTGTTATATAGGAGCCCACTTGCGCCACAGAGCCTGGTACAAAAGTGGCGTGATGATCAAGAGAACCTTTGATTGAATCACGCAGTATAGCGTGATGCTGACGTCTTGTGGCGTGATGTAAAGCGATGACGCAAATAGGCCTGCTCATTACACTAATAATAATAATAAGGTACAGAGTTTGGAACCAAAATTAAAAATTCCGGTATTTTAACCGGAACCTTATTATTACCGAGACCCTTTTTTGATTTTATTAGAAACCTAAATCGAAACCGAATAAACTGATGATATTTGTTGGAAGATAATTTGTTGGTTGTATTATAAATAATAATGTTATACTCTCATTATTATACTACGGTATGGTATATTAAAAATATTAAAATATTATTATTAATAAATTACAGTAAAAATATTATATTAGTTATATAGTAGTAACTTAGTAATAATATTTTTTGAATAACGTTATAAATTCTGTATATAAAAAATATTAAAATAATAGTATTAATAAATTACTAAAAAAATATTATGTAAATTACGTAATCTATATATATATAAATTTCGTGTCACGATGTATGTTCGCGATAATCTCCGAAACTACTGGACCGATTTTGATGAAATTTTTTACACCATGTGTAATTTGGTCCAACTTAAAATATAGGATAGTTTTTTTTCAAATTCGCATCAAAAGATGCGATGACTTATGTACGTCATTACGGTCGACCTGATTTGTTTGTTACATTTACGTGTAATCCAAATTGGGAAGAAATAAAAAATTTGTTATTACCAGGCCAACAATCAATACATCGTCACGATATCGTTACACGTGTGTTTAAATAAAAGTTAAAATCTTTAATTAATTTAATCGTAAAATATTCAGTTTTTGGTAACACACGTTGCTGGCTGTATTCTATTGAGTGGCAAAAGCGAGGTTTGCCTCATTCTCATATTTTGGTTTGGCTTGAAGATAAAATCCGTCCAGAAGAAATTGACCAAATAATTTCTGCCGAAATTCCGGATCCACTAACTGACTCAGAATTGTTCGATATTGTTACCAGTCACATGATCCACGGACCGTGTGGTGCTTTTAACATGGCATCACCATGCATGGAAGAAGGAAGGTGTAAGAAACGTTTCCCGAAACCCTTTACCAATGATACTATTACGGATATCGATGGTTATCCATTGTATCGCCGCAGAGACCCTGAGCATGGTGGTCACACATTTACAATTCGAAAGTCGAATTCTATAAATGAAGTTGAAATTGATAATCGGTGGGTAGTTCCGTACTCTCCATTGCTGTCAAAAGCGTATAAGGCTCATATTAATGTCGAGTTTTGCAGTTCCGTCAAATCCATTAAGTACATTTGTAAATATGTTAATAAAGGAAGTGATTTGGCCGTATTTGAAATACAAAATATAAACAAAAATGACGAAATAGCAAGATACCAGATGGGTAGATATATAAGCAGCAGCGAAGCTATCTGGCGTATTTTCAGTTTTCCAATACACGAAAGAGAACCTTCTGTCCAGCATCTTGCAGTACATCTTGAAAACGGTCAACGAGTATATTTTACCGAAGAAAATATTCTCCAAAGAGCATTTGAGACACCGAAAACGACACTAACTGAATTCTTTACATTATGTCAAAAATCTGATGTATTCGGCCAATTTGCAAAAACATTATTATATACCGATGTTCCACGCTATTTTACATGGAATAAAATAGGGAAAAAGTGGGAGCCCCGTAAGCAAGGAAAACCACATCCATCGATCCCAGGCATATTTAAAGCTAAGACATTGGGACGACTTTACACTGTACATCCTAAACAACGTGAATGCTTCTTTTTGCGTTTATTGCTGGTGAATATTCCCGGACCAACATCTTTCGAATATTTGCGAACAGTGAACGATCGAGTGTTCAATACATATCAAGATGCATGTTGCGAGTTGCAACTACTGGAAGCAGATAATCATTGGGACTTGACACTTGCTGATGCAGCATTGACATCTACACCGAATAATATTCGTCAACTATTTGCAATAATTTTGACAACATGTTTTCCAACACAATCATCGACTCTGTGGGAAAAATATAAAAATTATATGACTGAAGATATACTGCATCGAATTAGACGAACAAATCAATGTCCAAATTTAGATTTCACACCAGAGATGTATAATGAAGCATTAGTGTTGATCGAAGATTTATGTATTTTAATTTCAAATTTGCCACTTAGTCATTATGGAATGTCATCACCTGATCGCCCGGCTGCCGACTTAGTTAACACTGATTTGCAATGAGAAAAACAGTACAATGACGTTGACTTAGCTACAATTATTGTGAATAATGAGCCATTACTGACAGCCGAACAAAAAAATATTTATAATCGGATAATGCTGACCGTTGATGCTGACCAAGGTGGGTTTTTTTCTTAGACGCACCAGGTGGAACAGGTAAGACATTCTTAATATCATTAATTCTTGCAAAGACACGTTCCCAACAGAAAATTGCTTTGGCAATTGCATCGTCAGGCATTGCTGCAACTTTGTTAGATGGTGGACGAACAGCACATTCAGCATTGAAGTTGCCATTAGACATTCATAACAAACCAAACGCAATGTGTAACATTAAAAAAAAAAAAGCGGAATGGCTACAGTGTTGCAAAAAAGTGCAATAATAATTTGGGATGAGTGTACTATGACTCATAAACATTCACTTGAAGCATTTCATAGAACTATGCAAGATTTGAAAGGCAACCATAAACTTTTCGGTGGTACTGTTATACTACTGTCCGGTGATTTCCGGCAGACTTTACCAGTTATTCCTCACTCTACTTTTGCCGATGAGATCAACGCATGCTTAAAACAATCGTTTTTATGGACAAGTGTTGAGACACTTCGACTGACTATGAATATGCGAGTACAATTGCAAAATGATCCAACAGCACAAGTATTTTCTAAACAATTGCTGGATATTGGAAATGGTGAAATTGAGTTGCATCAAAATACACAATACATAAAATTACCAGATATTTTCTGCACTGTTGTTGAAACGAGAAATGAACTAATTGAGAGTGTCTTTCCGGATATATTGAATTATTATTTAGATCACAATTGGCTCTGTAATCGTGCTATTTTGGCAGCAAGAAATGTTGATGTGAACGAAATTAACTTCCATATACAACAGATTTTGCCCGGTGATTTGATGTCTTTTAAATCAATCGACACAGTTATTGATGAAAACGAAATCGTAAACTTTCCAACTGAATTTTTGAATTCTCTGGATTTGCCAGGAATGCCACCACACAACCTTCAATTGAAAATTGGTTCACCAATTATTCTTCTACGTAATTTAAACCCACCTCAATTATGTAATGGTACACGTTTAGTCATAAAAAAAATGACCGAAAATATTCTTGAAGCAACAATTTTGTCGGGAAAATTTAAAGGAGATATCGTCCTGTTGCCACGTATTCCACTGTTAGCGTCGGAATCTTCAATACCGTTTAAAAGGCTCCAATTTCCGATTTGTTTAGCTTTTGCGATGACTATAAATAAATCTCAAGGCCAAACAATGTCTATTTGCGGTTTGGATTTGGAAAACACATGTTTCTCACATGGACAGCTATATGTTGCCTGCTCACGTGTAAGAAAACCATCAAATCTCTTCGTGTTAGCGAAAGACAGGTTAACCAGGAATGTTGTACACAAAGTAGTACTTAGATAATTTTTAGTTTTAATAATTTAATTTATTTTTGTATGTTTTTAATGTATATAGTATTTTTTGTAAGTAGGTCACTGATTACAAACAATAATTTAATATAAGATGAATAAAATGTAAATTCAGAAAATATATATTTTGGTTTGTACTTAATTTCAACTTTTAGATACTTTACCTATTACTTTTAAATTTTCTCATGCATAATAACACTAATACATGGCCTACGAAAATGCTAAAAAACCCACTAATACGCGGCAACGCCGTGTCGGGACAGCTAGTTATAATATAAATATAATATTATTTTTGTAATAATATTTTTTGTAAAGGAAACATAATAATATTATATTATTATCATTACACAATTGCTATCTGGGTATATATACATAAATGCATTATACACACATATCTTGTTTATATTAAATTAAAATTTCAATAATTATTTTAAATTTAAATAATTGTATTTATTTATTTTTTTTTTTTTTTTTGTTAGTCTTTCGCCTTATTGACTTATTCGGTTAATTGAATTGAATAACCTAGTTCAAAAGTGAGTACAATAACTGATGACCACTGTATTTTAAATAAAAATAAATTTTAATAAAAATAATGTATGTTAATGACCTTAAAAATATAAGCAAAAACCAATTATACAAAATTAAATTTATAGATTACTCAATTGTCAAATACTTAATAAAGTAGATTCAAGTGGAACTATATCATATCATACAATAGTAGCCATACAGTTACGACTTATAATGGTTGAACATTGAATTTTAATACTATTTTATAGTATTGTGTGATAGTATATAATTATTAATATTCCTTTAGTAAATTTTAAAATGTTGGGCTCTAATTGTCGTCTCCATCTTAAACTTGTGAGTAAAATTAAAAATATGATTTATTTGCATTTTTAATGTATATTCATATTGTATTATTGTTTATATTGTGTATATTGGTGTATTCATATATTTACCTTTAGCTGTACACCACCGTCTTAATATCATATATTATGTTCTTTAATGGATGTTCGTTTGCATTATCGTCTACTCTTTTGCCAGAACTTCGATCACCTTCGTCACCGATTCAAATTGATGACGAAGACGCATCTTGGATAGGTATGTAACTTCACGCTTATAGATTCTGAGCGAAGTGAGGTATGTACCGATTTTAATAGAATTTTTTTTTTTTATAATTTTCCTATACTTGATTTAATCTGAATTAATCTGAAAATCTTACTTATTAAATATAACTCGCTTTTTACCTAAATTTATGTAACATCTTGTACTATTTAAACTCTAAAATCGACACTTCTATCTAAAAAAAAATTGTCTAAATACTCTATTTTTAATAATTAAATTCATTTAAAAACTATTTGTATGATAAGTTCATAGGTGTACGCAGACCTCTTTTTCAGGGTATGCAAAAGGCTGCCACTGCCTACTCCCCCCTAAAACTGAAAGTTAATTTAAGCGTTCGAAATTCTGGTTCTTAATGACTATTTAATTTAAAATTTTAATTTTTTTCCTGAAAAAAGTGACTGAATAACCATTCCTTAATCATTGTAACTGTCTTCACAATTAAAATTTAAGATAAATTACGAAAAAAAAAAATTAAATACATAGCACTTGAAATGATTTGAGTAATACGTTTAAATAAGGTAAATAAATAAAAATGTAATTATATACTTAAATGAAAAACAAAATAAATTTAATAAATAATCAAAATTAATCATAAAACGATTTTGCGTACAGTTGAGTTCTTAATATCACCAATAATGTTTTCGGGATTTTAATTTATAGCCATTTCTTGTTCTGTAGTTGATAGCTATTTAATCTCGCTTGAATTATTGTACTTCTTAATTTTATTAACACATTAAATCGTTATTATAGCATATGATTTGTGTTTCAAAAATAAATTAAACTGTCTGGGACTGAATATAAAAATATAATAAAAATCATAATGTAATATAAAATCACATAATATACATAAGACCAAATATGTCATAATTTTTATTTATTTTTTGTAATTTTAGAAAGAAGGCTCTATGTTTAGGGTTAACTTTTTCAAACATACATATACATTATTTATTATTTTTTCAATAATTATGACAAGCGTTTTTCATTATATTTTGAAATTTAATATACATTCATATATTTGACAGTTATTTATTATGTATAAGTTTACAATTATAAGATTAAAAAATCGGTTAGTTATTTATGTTTTGACTATACCACATGCTTTTTAACTATTATGTAACTTATTATTTCTGTGTAGTAATTGTTAATCGAGAAAGACGGTTAGTGAGGTGATGGATAATCGAAGTACTACTATACTGATGTGCATTTATTTTCATTACTAAATATTAGAGGCATTTAGTAATCTAATTCTGATCAATCCATTGATCACTTTGATATTATGATGGGTTATAGTTGATCTATCGATTTTTCTGTTAGTCTTTTATTTCCTTGACACTAATGGCATGATTCTTTGATTTATGTTGTGTGCGATTCATCCATTTAACTGCCTTTAAGTGTTTCGTAATATGATTTCAATATTCCATTGGCTGTATTTAATATTACTAAATAAACTAATAATCTCGTTTGGTGGTTCAGAGTACGTACAATAAAATATATCATTAATATTTGTAAATTATTTCAAATATTTTGATTTTCAATAATCAATAATTACATCAACAGATCCTTCGGTGCAATTAGTTAATTAATTAAATTGTTAATCCTATCAACTGTATAATATTATGCTGATATATGATCACGTAAATGTATTATTTAACTATCTATTACAAATTATTTTTAAACAACATTCAATAACAATTATATGAGTAAATTAATTGAGAATATTTTGATAGTCATTAAAATTTGTTATTATAGCAACAACAATTAATAACAATAAACGGGTTAGTTTAATATTAAATTGTATCACGTACACTAACCAATATAATACCGCTACAACATATAATAAATAATGTCAATTTATCAAATCTTCATGGTTCACGTTTTCTTTCAATTAAATTATCTGTCAATATTATTTTATAGCATAAATTTATTCTTAGTCTAGAAACAAATAATAAATTGAACGAACCATTTCACCACTATAAAATTCATTGCTCATACTCACAACAAGCAATACACATTGGTACGTATAATATTTATCAAGTAGGTATTCTATATTCTGATAGATATAACACACTAATAATATTGTATTTTATTGTTTTATAATACTGTATGTGTAACATAAGTATACATATAAATACATATAAAAATTAATAAATGAATAGTAAGTTGTATGTGTTAACAATCAGTTTGAAAAAATACATCATTGAGTTTTACAATGTTATAAGTATAATAATAATAATCCCTACTCAATCGTATCTTTGTTCATTTACTAGAGTGGATTATTATAAAACATAAAAATTATAATAATATTGATGAATTTTCAACGTTCAATAATGTTAATCTAAGGTTTTAAAATATTAAATCATTTTAGATAATGAGATAGAGGTATACATACTCTCAGATGTTTATAAATAATAAGATTGTTGAGACTACTAAGAGACACCGATTAGTTTTTTTTTTCTTTTTTTTTTTTAATAAATTATTCTATTTTTTGTCATATTATATATTTCATATTTTACAATACATAACCAGTTGAAAAGTTAGTCGTTAATTTTGAAAAATATTTTAAAATTACTAAAAAATTATGTTTTTGAATTTTAGCTAGTATTCTGTATCTGTTGTGTCCCATTGGATTAATCGGAACCGGGGTACTATCCGATAATATTGGTAGACGAAAAGCACTTCAAATAGCTTTTATACCAATATGTTGTAGTTGGATAGTACTTATGTATGCCAATTCTGCTTTCGTGATTATAATTGCAAGACTTTTAATGGGTGTTAGTACTGGTATGTTATATTTTTACAAGAATATTAATAAGTAAATTATTGTATAACTGGCTTATAGAATTATTATATTTGTAAAATATATCATATTATCATAAATTAAGTAAATAATGATAATAAGTGAAGTTTAAATACGTCTAGAAGATAGGTTAGGTATACATGATGGAACTTTATCATAAGAATAATTATCACTTAAATTATTATTTTGTTTATTTACTATAATAGATATTAACCATATTTATTAAACATAAAATTAATAAAATCATAATAGTAATAAAAATGAATCAATAGTGTCAGAAATCGAATTTCATACGCGACAGTTGGTTAGCAGACCACAAAGACACGAATATTAATCTATGAAAAAATAGTTAAGTTAAGTTAATAATGTTAAGTGATTGTAGCAACTTAACTAAAAACAGTTACCTGGATTGTGACCAAACGTAATCGTAGCGAATTCAAAGAAACTAAAATCAACTACATTACTCGATCCCGAAATAAATAACCATTTGCAAAAACAAAACGAACACATTTTAGTATTACGCGCTTTGTAAGGAGAAAAATATCGTTTGCGATTTTCAGGTATTATGCCGTTCGTGGTGTTGTATCTGGTGGAAGTATGTCCCCGCGAACACCGGTCGTTGTACATGTCGTTGATAAACTTATCCGTGAGCATCGGCATGGTGACCGAGAACGTGATGTCGTTGTTTTTCGGCTATCACGCGATCGCGACCATACTGGCCGTGATGTCGGTGGCCGGTTGCGTTTCGCTGTTCCTGTTACCGGAAACGCCCATGTGGCTCCGGTCCAAGAACCGGGCCGGCGAGGCCGAGGCCGCGGACAAGTGGTTCGGTATCGAGCCACCGGCCACGGTAACCGCGGTCGACGCGGAGAACGGCTGCGCGTCGTCGCACGGCGACAAGACGTCCGGCTGGTCCGTGTACACGCGCCCGACCGTGTGGAAGCCCACGCTGATCATGTTGGCGTTCTTCGTGTGCCTGATGGGTAGTGGCATCTACGTGCTGCTGATGTACTCAACGGACGTGTTGCGCGGGTCCCCGCTGTCACTGGACCCTAAGATCACCGTTTACATGTCCACGGCGCGGCTCGTGGGTGGCGTGGTGTTCTCGTTGCTGTTCGAGGTCAAGCGCCGGACACTGATGGTCTACTCGAGCATGGGCATGGCCGTGTCCGTCGCGGTGTTCATCGGCTACATGAAATGGTACGCGGGCTCCGATGACCCGCCATGCGCCGACGTCGTGATCGTCGCGTTCGTCTGCTACGTTTTCTTCTCGCTGTTGGGCGTCATACCTTTGGCCTGGATGATCAGCGGCGAACTGTTCCCCATGGAAGTCAAAGGTACGTAACAGTACGTCGACAACGGTACCGTCGAACGTTTGCCCTATCGGCCGCCCCACTGCCCGTTCGCTTTATCGGCTGCTCAACTGTTCGTTTGCTCGCCGTTTATAGTAATTGTGCAGTGGTGCTGCATTCGTCTAGCATCTTCCAAGACACTCAACTTAACTTAATGTGATTCGTGTGTGATAATGTAAGAAATGCAGGGGGAACTTCAATGGCAGTCATCGATATCCACATGATCCCATGGAAACGTAATATTATTAGGAATGAGATTTTAGATAAAATTCGTATTTAAACCCGAAAAGAATGGAAGGATGAAATTAGTTGATCTTAGAAAGAATGACTCCATAATACGATTAACCCGTGTATAAACATTGAATAAAACAAATCTCTTTGAACGTTTTACAAAAAATAAATTATAATTTTAAACTGTACATACGTTAAAGTATATGACCTCACTCAGCGGTGAGTGTCGACAGTCACCGGTGTTTGTCGAGCTTTACCGATTATTTTGGTGAATGTTGTCTATTTTTACAGGTAACATACATTGCAGACATTTACTGGTGATTGTTGGCATGTACATTAGTTATTTTTTGAATGTTAATAAACGAATAATTAATAATTAATATGAGATACAAATGGACAGTAAGAAATAAGAAATAAGAAATTCTTAGTTATAAGAAATAAATTTAGATTTTGTCCAGCAAATATATAAACATGTATGATATGCTCGTCCCAAGAAATTGATTGGAAAAACTACAAATCAAATCCGAAATGCGTCAACTGTGGAGCAAACAAACCGTCTAATCTCCAAGATTACCTATCACGTTTTGGAGCAATCATCCAAAGGTGCAGAAAGACAAACTATGGAACAAACTCTACATGATGGATTTAAAGATAATTCAAATAAAAGCAGCGATAAACCACAAAATAAACGACGAACTTCTAAACTGCAGTCAAATGAACGACATAGACATCATACTCTTTCAAGAGTCATACACAAGACACAAGACACTACAACCTAGTAAGATTCGAAATCCCTCCTCACAGAATAATATGATACAAAGAACAACATAGAAAGGGAAGAGAGAGCATTACCACTTGGGCAGCAATCGTAGTACTCAATCTAGATATTAAAATGATAGTACTACAACATATGGTACAAATGACGAGATGCTTCCAAAAATATAATTTGATGATCAACTGGCAAAACACTAAAGTTATGATGTACCAAAAAGAAGAACGAATCCGTAGAATAAATATCTAAATGGAGAACAAACTGCTTGAACAAGTAGAACATTATAAATACCTAGGCAGTATAATCAACCAAGATGGAAGACGCAGAAATAATATCAAAAATCGCATAAAGTCAGCATTTATGAAAAAGAAAAAAATTGTTATTCTCCAATAATATGAGTATTAAGATGAGAAAACGTTTCATAAAAGTATATGTATGTAGTATGGCACTCTATGGTTGCGAAACATAGATATTAAATAAGGCAGAACAACGAACACTAGAAAGCTTCGTAATGTGGTGTTGGAAAAGGATTCTGAGAGTGAGTTGGATATAACACCGCACTAACGAAAACATACTCAGTGAAATAGATGAACGAAGAGAGCTCAAAGCCATCAGAACAAAATGATGGAACATGATGGGTCATATACTGAGACACGAAAATGAACTAACCCATAGAATAAAGAAAAGATAATTGAAAGTAAAAGTCACTGAGAACAAGTTTCGAAACCTTGTGATATGGCAATAACGTTTTAAATCTAAATATTATCGAAAATATATTATAATAAATATCTTATTCAAGTGCGGTCAACATTTATTAAATTTTTTTTTTTTTCAATCTTTAGATTGGTTAAATTACTTTGATGGCTCTCCACTTATCCCTATCCATTACAGCTACTTTTAGTTCCTTATAATTGGTTTCCCCTATATCGTCTATGATCTGTTTCATAAATGGTGTTCTTGGTCTACCTCTTCCAGCTTTTCCTTCTATTTTTCCTTCTATTATTGTCGTTATCCATTCATTATTTCTCATAATATGTCCGATTCATTTTTTCCTCCTTTCTTTGATTGTCGTCCATATTGCTTTTTGTTCGTTCATTCTTAGGTATACTTCCTCATTTTTTAACTTTCTCTGTCCAAGAAATTTTCAGTGCTCTTCTCCAACACCATGTTTCAAATGCTTCAATCTTTTTTCTTTCCGCTTTTAATATCGTCCATGTTTCTGCCCCATAGAGAGCTATACTCCATACAAAACTCTTTATAAGATTTTTCCTGGTGATTAAGCCAACAGTGTTTGCCGTTAATAGGTGTTTCTTTTGGTAAAATGCCTGTTTTGCTTGTGCTATTCTGTGCTATTAAACACTAGTTGTTCATAAATATAATATTATAATTTATATAATTTATATACCCGTACAACTTGCGTTGAATTAATTAATAGTTAAATAATAATTAAAAGTGTATAACAGATGGCAAATATCTCTTGTGTGTATCGCAGATTATATATTTTTAATTTTATTCAAAATTATTTCTGTTCACATAAAAATAATAAAATAACTACAAGCACAAATAATCTATAATTTTTATATTTCAGGTAAAATGTGCGCAGTAGTTAATATTTTCGGATATTTAGTAGTGTTCATAACCTGCAAAATATATCCAGCAATGTCATCGACTTTTGGAGTGTTAAATATTTGGTCAATATTTGGTGGATTTTGTATTATCACTGCACTATTTGGTCAATTCGTAATGCCAGAAACAAAAGGAAAATCACTCGATGATATTATAAAATCATTTGAATCGAAAAAGAGCTCAACTTGAGTAGACACTAGTAATGGGTCAATAGCTATGACGAAGTGGCGGTAATTAAATCGGGTTAAATTGAAAACTTTGATCAACTATTTCTAAATCTTTAAATTTTCTCTGTCATAAATGTATGTACAGCGTTCACACAGCATTCAATGCAAATATATTTGAAGATTGTACTCACAGGAGGTAATAGGTAAAGGTTATGCATATATTGTTGTTACCTCTTTAGTATTCAATAGTTTAAGTGTTAGAATAAATATCGTATAAATATATATATATATATTGTATATTTAGTAGTAGTATTTTGTTTATGCAATTTAAATAATATTGATATATAAATGTACATTTTATTACCAACAAATAAATAAATAAATGATTAAAATTATTTTTGTGTCAATATGAAAGAAACTCATTTGCGCACAATATTTTGAACAATGAAAACCAGCTTTTAGGTACAATTTTGGGTGTACAGGGTGTCCGCATGCTCTAAAAGCATAATGTTTGTTTTCATTCGTGGTTTTCCATCAGGTTAGGACAAATTTGGTTCGAGCAGTTGCGAAAAAATATAAATTTACTAAAAAAATCTTCGAAAAATGATTCTAAGATTGGAAAGTGGCTTAAATACTTTTTTGGTTTAACATATTTAAACTCAAATGACGTCCTGAACGTATTTACTATAATAATTTCAATAGCGCTATGTAACAATAAGTATGAATATTTTAGTCAGTAGTTTTTAACTTTATAAATCATTATAATTAATTTTGGTTTAATAATATAATTTTTCTAGTCATACACAAAATATATCATAAATAATATATACATAATATGTGATTATATATTTTATATTCTGGTTCTATAGTAACATTTCAAAATAAATTAAATAATAATAATCACTATTTGTTATTGTTTATTATAAAATTCAATATTTTATAATAAATCAACAGGATAAGTAAGATATTTAAATTTAATCGAAAAATATAATTTTTATTTTAAAGTAACATGTTTAAAAGTGATGATTTTTTAACAATAAATTGGACAGATGAGTTTTTAAAAGAGCGAATTGATTTAACTCGAGTATGGACTACATTAGATAACGGAATCGAAATACATGAATTACAATTAAATAGAATTGATGAAGTAATGGAAATGATAAAGGTGAATCATAATAATCAATATAAATATTACGAAATAATACTCTAATTTACATAAAAATTATTATTTATTGAATATACTTAATAAGATGAATAAATTAATAGTTGTAATAAATTAAAAATAATGAATCTCACTATAGCTTACCATAATATTTATTCGTTTTACAGAATTAAAATAAATTTTAGTGTAGGTTATGGTACCTATCATTGTAGTTAAATGAAAGATAATAATATTTTCAATGTTTATCTTAGAACATTTATAAAATATTGTAACTATATAAGTCTCCTCAAATGTAATTATTTAAAACCATCATCTGCAGAAATATTATATCATAGAAGAACCACTAATGGATAGAAGTCAAATGTTTATAGACGATAAATCCGTGGAAGAATATTTATACTTAGCTCAACATTGGATTATGAACACACTTTCAACCATTGCAGTAGAACAAGAAACAGGAAATATAGTAGGATTTCTTATAAACAAATTTAATCATGCAATTGACAAAAATCGCGAGTTCAGCAAAGAAAGGGTAATAATAAGAACTTAAGGTATAAATACATTATACTGTATATTTTTATTGCGAATATATTCGTATTTTAATGAAAAATCAATAAATTTATTAAAGATTATGAAATATGAGATTATTATCTATTATGGCTCACTCTAATGTAGATAATATGTTTGTACATAATATTAAATTTAGTTGGTTCGTAAATGCGATCAAGTACATAATTTACATGTTTGCACATTTGATTTTAAATGAATTCCAAAAGAATTTTTAAATTTTAAATTTTAATTAAATTTATGTACATACATACATTTTTATTAATATATAAATATTAAAATAGGAATAATGAATATTATAAATAATATAAATCATATTATTGGTATGTTATACACACAGTAAATTAGTTCAATTACTTTATTTTTAATCAGTTTTTGAATATATGCACCTCCCACGATCCCTCGGCGTGAATAATCGACGCTCTACTATACATATCGATTGCTACTAGGCAAAAAAGCACAAACTATATTTTTCTAAGTGTTCAAGGAAGCGCGAAAAATTATTTTTATTTATTTTTACAATTTATACTCATATATCTTTTTTAAGTCATTTTCTGAGATTTTCATTAGTTATTTTTTAAGAAACCCCATGTTGTTTTAACGGTCATGCAATTTTCAATGAGTTATATCTGAGTTGATACTGAAGTATCAAAAATAATTTTTATGAAATAATGTTAAATTTTTTGCATTTATTTTTTCCTCACTTGACCCCACTTTTTACTAATAATATTGCACGAACAATTAAATAAGCATAATTCTAATAAATTTTTATAATATTACTAGCTGACCCGATAAACATTGTTTTGTCATATAAATTATTTCTAGAGAATATTTTACTAGAAGAAAATAACTTATTTAATATAAGTGTGTAAGGATATGCTATATAAGTGTAAGAGGTTAGTGCTGTGAACGGTGACGAAAAATAAAAATGAAAAAACATCAGATACCTATTTATTTTTTTAATAATTTATTAAAATTGATCCGTTAAAATTATATATATATAAATCGCTAACTATGACAATATTAGTAAAAAACAATATCAATCCCTTAATGCAACAGAGTGTACAATATTTTTTTGTTATCCCATCTTTCGCCGACAAAAACAAATTGGATGGTTCGAAAGCACGCCACGTATAATTGTTCGTGTGAAAAACATAATATGCTCAAATCTAAGCCACAGACAGACATCGTTTGGCCTTGAGACTTATTGATAGTCATTGCAAATGCCAATCTAATTGAAAATTGAAGGCGTTTAAATTGTATTGACACATCTGTGGGCATAAAAGAGATTCGCGGTAATAATATATTTTCACCTCGGAATTTGCCATTTAAAATGATTGCTTCATTTTTAATGAATTCATTTTGATACATAATAATAACATTTTTCATTAATTTTTTAATGATTAATTGCATGCCGTTGCACAACCGTGGTGGGTACAAATTAAGAAGCAAAATAACCAGAGATCCAACCTTCAGTTGTAAATTGTGCGGTGGCATGCCTGGTAAATCCAATGAGTTTAAAAACTATGTTGGGTAATTTAAAGCTTCAGTAGCATCGCAAACTGTATCAATAGATTTGTATAACACCAAGGGTCCTGGTAACAAATGTATCTTGAGATTCAATTCGTAGACGTCCATATTTTTTGCTGTTAAAATTGCTCTTTCTGCCTGCCACTCATGATTTGTGTATTGTCTATGTACATTGGGAAATTTCTGGTCAACGAGAGCATCTTGTGAATCAATGATTGTGCAGAAATCGGTCGGTAATTGTATGCATCCCGTTTCATCTATAGTAACTTTCCCATAACCGATATCTTACAACCGTTTTGAAAATCTTCCTCGCGCAGCTCTTTTTGGTTGAATCACAAGTATCATAATCGTTCGTTCTCTATCTTTACATACATGTCGACCATGAATTGTTGATAAAGCTCACGCATCGTAGAATAACGTTGTCCTAATCGCATCTAATCATCAACCGATATGCATAATAATCCTTCGAACTAACATTATTGATTGTTTTGGCACCTGTTGACCTTGTTGTTTAATATTTATGCAATATCCGTCATTTAATACCATAAATAAAGTTAATAACTTTTAAATAGTTTTTAATAGTTTTTTCAATAGAATCATTTAATAATTCATTTTCAATTGCGCAGTTATTGACCTGGTCAAAAATTATTAAATGAAACAACGGATTTATTAAACAATAGCACTTAAGAGTATAAAAATAGATAAAAATCTATTCACAGACCTACCAATCGTACATATAAAATTCCATTAAATCAGTTAAGCCGTTTTGGAAGAATATGATCACAAACACTGTGACATGAGATTTTTATATATATATATATATACCTATATATTGTAAATGAAATAAAATAGCTATTTAAAATAATCACTCTTTAATATTTTTCTTTTATACCAATATTTTTAAATAATAATTAACAAATATATAGTAATGATATTATTTATTTAATATTCTAACTAATCGTTTATCTATACTAATATCAATCATTTCTGCACATGAATTTCAATATTATAAAACTTAAACAAAAATACAACAAAATTAAATAAACTAACATTTTTAACTCTCTTGAAAGAAGCACTAAAAAAATTAAAAACTAATATTTAAATGATTTGAACTAAAATATGATACTTTTAATTACTCTGATTCAGAATCGTTGGTATCATTTTCACGATATGTATATTTGTAGTTCTTATTATTATTATCTTACTATTAGTGTCTTGAAGTCGACTTACATTTTTTTAATATTTTGTAACTTACATGAAATATTGTTGGTAGTGGGGACGCCTAAGATTCTGTATTGTTATTACATCATGAGGGTAAAAGCAATCGCGGTCGTTGAGCGAATTTTTTTAAAAACCAACTAGCTTAACTGTGTTTTTATAATAATTCATTGTAACCGACCGACAATGACCGTCTGAATTAACAAACTGATGTATTTGATGTACTAATTTATTACTAAATGTTTAAATTATAACATTTTTTATGCTTTAGAGCAGGGGTCTCCAAACTTTTTTATTGAAGGGCCACAAAAAATATCAAATGCTCTTAGTGGGCCAAAAGTTTATTAACACATAATTTTTAATTTTATGAAAATATAGGTATACTTAGACATGTAACTGTACAAACGTTATGAAATGATTTCGTCGTACCGCTCGTCTATGTGACTAATCTCTCCGTTATCGACGTTAAAACTAAAAATATAAAAGGAAATTGCAATGTCTGTCGTCATAAATTATGATACGTGCCCATGATAACGACTTTTTAAATTACACATATATTTAGATATCTATATTTTATTTACCGTCTTATGGGTGCTGCGGGCCGTTTAAAACTTGTTCGCAGGCCGTAGTTTGGAGACCCCTGCTTTAGTGTGTAAGACATAAGAAAAAAGTTACATAAGTAAGACATATATTTATATTTATTTTTACTATAATACGAGTATATATAGTCATCTAGGGAGCTAGATATTTTGTGGCAAGGGGATAACCCACACATCAAAAATTTTGAAGGATTAATTTCTCCAAAATAATTCCTTCACCGTACCACTGGATAAAGGTCATAGTTGATGATAATCTAAGAGTAAAATAAAGTTACAATCATAATTTTTTTTATTTAAATCATATTTGTTCTAATTTTTTAGATATACGAAGGTAAAATATGGAACGAGCTACAAACATTTAAACATTATTTGACTAAAAGAGGCAATGCATTTGAACATCATAATGTACAAAGTGTTCTAGAAATTTATTTGTGGTTTGTCCTTCCCAGTTATAGAAATAAAGGTTTGTTAGCAACAAAACTTTATGAAAATGTGACTAAACAAATTAAATAAAATATATTTATATTAATATTTTAGTATTATTAATGCAATACAGATATTTTAAAAATAAATTATTTACCAATATATTTTAGACCTTGATATATTTGCAAATTAATCTGTATATCATAAACATTCACAATTTTTATTAAGTCATAAATATAAATATGTCGTTTTTATGTAAATAAAGCCTATGATATTTTTGGTCGTTGAAATCAAATTTTGCGTGCAGGAATAGGCAAGGAGTTGTTGAGAAACGTCATGCTAAGGCAATTACCAGAATATGAATGGTCAAACATCAACGTGATCACGGGTGTTTTTACCAGCAAAGTGAGTCAACATATCGCCGAATCATTGGGAATGGAAACGTTATACGATTTTCTTTATGAAGAATGGATCCTCAAAAACAAAGTAAATGATAAACACGAAGAGTTTTTTAAAAAAACGACATCAAATAATTATTCGGCCAAAGTTATGTCAAAATTCAATACGACCTCAAGTAAATAATAAAAATAAAAAAGAACTTCACTAAAAATTAATTGAGTTAAATTAATAACAGTAAAATTTATATAAATTTGAAAATATAATAGCATAAATTATGATTTTTATTCGAAAAAATTAACTAAGAGTTTACCCACTATCAAGACTATATAAAGACAGTAATACCTAGAAAGTAGTTTTGGTGATTCAAAACAGAGTTTGAAAAGTCAAAAATGACAGGACTCTAATCTATATATCGTTCTCAATATTCAATTACAATACATATAATTACTAGGTAATTAATAATAAATATATATATAAATATATATTACTATATAATTTATAATTTATTTCAATACGAGTTAGTTTTGTTTGTAGAACACTATTCAATACCTAGTAACATCAACTAAATTATAAAGTCAATTTTTTAACAATTTTATTGTGTATAATTTTTTTTAACAAACAGTTGAGCATTTCAGTAACATTTTCAGATAAATGTTAAAGAGAACGCTTTATTAGCGTTCCCCCTTCTCCACTATAAGCCCTGATTCAAACCATCCTAAAATGATATAATTTATTTTTTGAAATTTATAGTAAAATTACGTTTTAACAACGAAGTGTAAATTTGTTGTAAAATAACTTTTTAAATTTTTTTTGGAGATTTTAAAAAAAATCGAATACTTTATGAGCATATAAATTTTACATTTATTTCAGTTTTGTATATAAGTTTTCATTTCGGAGGGGGCCGATTATGTATTTGATTTTTGGGTGGAAGGGAAGGAGGAAGCACACTATTACAAGAAAAATTACTTAAACACTATAAGACTTCTCGACTGTCTTTACACCATCACAGAAATAAGAAACTAAATTTTTTTAATAATTTATTATTTTTTAAAAGTATAAAATCTACATTGTAATAAAAAAAATTTTTATTAGAGTCACTCAAAATTCACCACATATTTTCTTAAAAGAATAAACATATTTTATAAATATAAAATTTTAAATTATCGCATAAGCAACATTCTCAATGTCGTGACAAATGTTCGGAAACCCCCAACATTAAGACATATCCATGTTAAAAATAACAATCTTTAACAATGGTGTTTTTTATTTCGGAAGGGACCCGGACCTCCTCGGCCTCCCTATAAATACGCCCCTGATTTATTTAGTAAGACAAAAACATAAAACAGATAATTCTTTACGTTTATAAAAGTAATGACGAATTAAAATAAAAGAATACCAAATTATTATAAGCTGAATAAATTAAAAATATTATATGTGTATACTAACATTAAATTCATGAATGTTACGTAATATCTCAAAATTAATAGAAAAATAAGTATCTGGATTAGAACTAGTTAATACTTTGTTAATCAATGTATATTATATATATATATATTCAATATATTCTTGTATATAGAATTCTCTGGTCACAGTGTTTGTTATTGAACTCCTCCAAAATGGCTTGACAATTAAAAAGTAAGTTGCATTTTGCTATAAGTCAAAAAATAATACGATTTTAGAAAAAAATACATATAACAGTCTATTTTTTGACTTATTCACTAAACAATTCTTTGTATTTTTCGTATCATGGTACGAGTTTGAAAATCTGTTGTTTGAAAAATTCCCGTCCAGTTATTGAACACTAGACACGTGTGGCATCTTTGACTTCGTCATCTGAATGGTATCGGACAAGCATAAATAGAAAATAAATAGAAGAGAGCAATAAACAGACAAAGAAATCCAATCCGATAATACAAATGTGCGTGAAAGTATTGCGATTGCAATATTTTATACAGTATACTTACTTATACTTTATACGGTGTCAATACAGTATTGACACAATTGCGAGAATCTCAATCACAAGAGCCACGAGCTGAACGCAATGAATGATGACGATCGGATTAAAGATAAGCACGTCGGTTCGTAATGAACACACGCAGGGCAAATTACCGACAACGCCAACATGTGCATCGAGCATTTACATCTGATTCGTTCCTTCGTCTGGCACTCAACTATGATCCAAATTTTGAGTATTACGCTCATTCGAAAATGACCATTGGTGCTATGGACAAAGAATGTCCCCATTTCCATGTGCTTAAATTAAAAATGAACCAGCTGGGATGTGTTGCGCGTCAGAAAAAGTGCAATTAAAATCCATTCGCACATTTAATTCATGCTTTCAAATCACATCGTTTGGGGAAACACAAATAGTCGAAGATTACTTCATGCACACATTTTAATTTGGTTAATCGAAAAAATATGTTTTATAGAAATCGATATTTTATTATTATTAATTATCAATTATTTATTGTTATTATTTCTGTGGAAATTCCTGATCCGTCTACAGATCAATTACTATTCGACATAGTTCTAACAAACGTGATTTATGGCCCATGTGGTAATCTAAATCGTTCATGGTCTTAGATGATCATCATGGTCTTAGCAATCAAATTATATTATATTTGTTAGTTTTATCAAATTTTTATGTATTAAATATTTTTTGAGCAGTAAAATACCTTTTTGAATATCAATTTAGTAGAAAAAAAATGGCTAAAAGAAAAATTTTAAATTCTATAATTATTTAACATAATTTATTTTTTAGATTATAGCGAGAAAAGTATCATTTTCAAAAATGTAATCTAACATTGATTTTATAACAAACAGGTATTGTTAATATTTGTAGCGTCTACGTGAATGCAGCCACTAAACGCCGCTGTAATCATTTGCATTTAACTTAAAAAAAAGAAGTCTTTAACTACAAAAACAAAATATATATTTTTTATCAAGTTAAACAGAATAAAAAGTTTTATATTGAGACATTTAGTAGTTACGTCCACATGGGCGCAAACAATTTTAACAAAATGATGGCATATCTGTATATTTTCAAATAGTTCCAGTCAAAATATCAAAAGTTTTCTATCATTAACTATAATTAGCTAAAACATTATTCGTTAATTGACCTTGTCATAATACACACAATATAATCTACAACGTAGGTAAGTTTAAATGTGTTTCAATGAAATATATAAAATATATTTTGTAGGTACTTGTAAACGATAATTAAATACTTAAACTAGATCATTTTACAACTATGTAAATATTGTTTATTTTAAATTACCATATTGTATTACGTTTATATAATATACAAGACAATCGATTCATAGCTCAATCTATAGCGCAGTTAAGGCTATTTTATACGTATATCTCTACACACACACGCGCGCGCACTAACACAAATATAAACAACCTGATTCAAATAGATTCTAACGCACTACACTTTTATAGTTAGTACAGCCCGACACCTGTTATATTACAAAATATTAATAGTAACATTAATCCTACTTGTTATCAATAGCCATTAGTACTTCAAGAAACATGGTTCGATGAAAAATATGTTATGTACTTGCAAAATCATATTTTACGTTCAGACTTATTTTTCAAGTTTAAATGTATTAAATATTTATAAATATACAGTCGAGCGGTTTGACTATTAAATTACAATGTTTAAATTTCTTCAAAATACAAAACATGCAGAATTAATAAGTCGCCTAAAAATTGTACGTCAAAAAAAAAAAAAAATCAAAATATGAAATCTACCTTCTGGGATCGATAGCTTATTCATTCATACATTTTTACATATAGATATTCTGTGTATTTGTAATATGCTTTGCTCAACTTCTTATTGGCTGTTCGTATGTATTCTCGTCGACCCTACTGGCACAACTTCGAAAACCTACATCGACCTTAAAATTGAATAGTGAAGAAGCATCATGGATTGGTGAGTACATTTTCAATGTAATTTTGAGTATTATTTATTTTAACCTTAACATCTTTTCACCTAAGTAAAATATACCAGTAATCAGTGGCGTATTTTTAAATTTTTTGAAGGAGTAGGGGTTTTAAATTTTTCTAAAAAAAATAATTGATCTTATAATATAAAAATATATATAAGATATGAATTAATAATTATATTATTCTATTATTATTATAAAAACAAGTGAAAACTTATTTACTACCACATTATATAAATTAATTTTTTCTTTCTCTGACCTTCGTAGTAAGTCATTTTTGACTTTTAAACCTTTTTTCCCCTCTGGGAAGGGCCAAAGACCCGGGAAATCCCCCCCTTGAAAATAAGTCACTGTAAATATTGATTTATTAATACAATAAAATTGATGTTTATGAATAAGTATATTAAATATATTTTGAGATGAAAACTGAAAAAAGCCTCTGAATATTATTTGTCAATTGCTTTTTCATTTTTGCATGTCTGTTGTTGATAATCAGATACGTTAAAATGTATGTCTATAAAACAAATATAATATAAATGACAAAATGTCGTTTTTCTGTTTTTTTTTCCCCCTCCAGCTAGTATTTCAGTCCTAGTGTGTCCAGTTGGTTTGATTATAACTGGAGTGTTAACCGATCGAATCGGAAGGAAAAGAGCTATTCAAATTGTCTATATACCGATGATTATAAGTTGGCTATTACTCGTATTTGCCGATTCTTATGAAGCCATACTCATCGCTAGAATCATTCAAGGATTCCCTTTCGGTAAGTTTTCATTTCACAAACAATAAGACGTAATATAAGTCGTGGACCAAAATCGTGGGCTGTTATTACATTTAAAAAACCAAAACCTATCGTCGGCAAAAACTTTTGAGTCATCGTAATAGCTGCCGCGATTTTTCTTCGTCGCCAGAATCTCAATATTATGCTGCACTCGTAACGCAAATATTATAATAATAAGTCGGTTGGACAGGTTCATCGACTTGCGAGTACTTGTACATCGCGGAGATAAGCCCGACCAAACTGCGGTCGGTGTTCTTCTCGACGGTCACTCTGTTCGTGGGGTTAGGCATAATGACCGAATGGTTATTGGCCATGTTCTTCCACTGGAACGCCCTGTCCGCGGTGCTGTGCGCCATGAGCGTGGCTGGTTTTGTGATGGTGCTGTTCGTGCCGGAATCGCCGATGTGGCTCAGGGCTCAGGGTCGGGTTGAGGAGGCGGACCGCGTGGACAAATGGTTCGGCCTGAAGCGCGCCGACATTTCAGTGTCCGCGTCACGGCCGTCCAATGATATCGACGTTCCGTATTGGTCGTTATACTTGCAGCGAGCTGTATGGAAGCCCACCCTGATCACATCCGCGTTCCTGTTCCTGCAGCAGTGGAGCGGCGTGTACGTGCTGCTGTTCTACTCGGTGGACGTGTTTCACGACTGCAACGTACAACAGGACGGCACCACCTTGTCCTTGCTCCTGGCGTGTGCACGCGTGACGGGTGGCATAACGTTCACGTTCCTGCACCGGCTCCGGCGTAAAACACTCATGGTCATTTCCGGCGTTGGCGCGTCCACGTCGCTGTTCGTCGTCGTGGTGTACACGCTTATTTTCCGTGACGTCGCCCATCCACCCTACGGCACAGTCCTCGCTACCGCATTCATCGCATACATGTTCTTCAACCTTCTGGGAATCCTACCGTTACCATGGATATTATGCGGCGAAGTGTTCCCAATGACCGTTAAAGGTATACGCATTATTTTGTTCCTATTATTATTATAGATTTAACAGTAAAAAATAATGTAATAACTGCAGTGGCCCGCTTTAACCTCCGCCATCTTCTCTTTGATCGTCCTGCCCTTTTCTTCATCGGGTTATCTTTGCTCGCTTATCTCTGATCCCTTGGTTATCATACAGCCAATATTTGCAGTGTTCTCCTCAAATCTCAATCCCTTCCTGTCACATTATCTTTTATCACCTTCATCATTAATACTTCCTTATCTAAATTATAATAATATTACATTTTAGATAATCTTCCTCTCTACTCTGTTATCTAGCAGTAGAACTTATACTCATGGTACAATGTTATAGTATTAATTAATACATCTAAATTAAAATTTAAATTAAAATTGTTAAACGACGCCTAAACAACATATCTATGCATAAACGTATTTTTATTTCGTAATTTTGTAAAATTAATTCCAATTAATTCAAATATTTGTGTTTAAGGTACTATGAATGGAGCTGTGCAGACATGGGGATACTTTATAATGTTTCTGATCATTAAATTATATCCATCGATGGTATTGAAATTTGGCATTGAAATGTCTTTATCATTATTTGCGACCATTTGTTTAATAAATTCCTTATTTGGAGTATTCATAATGCCAGAAACTAAAGGCAAATCTCTAGACGACATTTTATCGTATTTTGTAACGCGAAAAAAAAACGGACTAAATGAAAATCTCTAATATTATCATTTTATAAGACCATTATTTTTTTAAGTTTATTCATAATGATATAATAAATATAATTTATACAATACTTATATTTTTGGTACATAAATAGGTACTTATAATTAATACTACTTAAATAATAATTTAATATTACTTAATATTTGTAAACTTATTTGAAATATCAGTTACTGTTTGTATCATATATCATGTAAAATTTATAATGGATAATTATAGTTGGTTTAATTAAAGTTATTTCATTTTTACATGTATATAATATGGATCTATAATTTTCTATTAAATTGAGTTCAACCTGCACAGCCAAATGATTTATATTGGCAAAAAAATTATTTTTTCTATTATATTACATCTTAAATTGGTTTAAAAGTATTACCAATTAAAAAAGAAAAAAAAACATATGTATAATATTTAGTTTCGCTTTTATATTTTAATTACAATTTTTATAACATTTTTTATAATTAATTCGTTAATTCAATAATAGTATAATGTGTTGCTAAAATATATACAGCACTCAACATTTTTAGCTTTTATTAAGTTATCGACTTTCATGTCAAGTATTCGTTATCTTTATTTTTAATATAATAATTCACGCTGAATGGAAATAGAGATACTTTGCGTTTATATGACTTTAGCAGCAGAAATGTAAATATATATATATATATATATATATATATATATATATATATATATGTATATACGAGTATATACATATATATATATATATATATGTATATACGAGTATATAACTATAATATAATCTTATCGCACCAAGTTTTTACTGCAAATATGATGAATATAATGTACAAATAATAAATACCTACATCAATATTTAATCCGTTAAAAAAAACACACAAAAAATAAGTCTATGGAATATTCATAAAGAACCAAAATGGAATTCTGAAAAGTTCAGGTAGGTTTATTTAAATAATTCGACAGTTTAAATTTTTATTTAATTATATGTTTATATAAAAACATTATAATAACCTTGAACACTATCAGACCAGTTTCTTACTTATAACTTAACGTAGTAGTACTATTATATTAATAAGTATTTCTCCCAAAGAAAATGTCTACAGTAATCGATTTTTTCACAAAAGTCAATGCTAATCTGTTTTAACAATTATTTATCAACTGAAATTTGTACATTTCCAAGTTCAGATAAAAATTACAAAAAACTCTATCTTATTGAATATCAAAACATCGATTATTACATACCTATTCTATATTATTACGTACATGAATATCTCATCAGAACAGTGGCGTACTTAGGATTTCTTCAAGAGGTTGATTTGACTATTTTTTCCACTCTCCTCTTGAAAGTCATTTGGTAGTAAATATTATCAATTTTTAATGATCTATAACTTATTTATAAATATATATAATATTTTCAATAAAAAAAAAAAAAATTAAAAATTAAATTAAAATTAAAAATGATTAACACGTTGAGTGACACGGTATTTATGACGTGCGTATAGTATTTTTCCGCGCTAAAACTGAGCCGCGGCGACGTATCGACATCGGTTCTGCTGTACGCCATGCAATTGTTATTTAACGTTCTTGAAATATTGATGTGTAATGCTGTATCCTAACTGAACCCGCCCGATGCGGCTATACGTTCGCCCGAAACGCAACACACGCAATGCAACGTATTGTTGGCAAAATTGACGACAATGAATTCATACGTGCTATAGGTTATGAACTTATGAAATTTCAATACATTCGAAAAGATGCCGTTAACCATCGATCAACGTAAAATGTTACTATCCGAAAGTTTGGCTGTTAAACTTTTTTTATTATTCCTATTTTGTCAGGCAATAAATTATATATAGTAACAACAAAAATAATATGATATTAATATTTAATCCGAAAAAAAACATTATCGGCATCGCCATTTCCACCATCGTCATTCGGGAAAAAATAATTAATACCCACTAAAAATAGTCACCCAAAATCCAAGTATCCAATGAAATTACGAGATCCTACTGAATAACCACATAAAAAAATGAAAACAGTACGTCTAAAACCGATCAAATAATACACCCATGAAGTTATACATAACATTTGTCGACCACGGTCCCGGAGACCGTGTAACAGTTGTCGACCGTGGCATTAAACGTGTTGAATGGTTAAAATTTGTAAATTAATACATAAATAAATAAAAAAAACCGTTTAAATATTTACTTTTGTGCATAAACTGTTTGTTTATTTATATATTAATAATTTCAATCTTATTTGAAATAAATAAACTAAAACACGGATGTTAAAAAAAAGACCAAGGGGGGAGATATATCTCCCTGATCTCCCCCAAATAACTTAATTGGTAATAGCAATTTGTGACTTTATAAGGAGTGCACTGTAGTATTTTAAACTCTCCAACACGGATTAAAATAATAAAAGGTAATGATAATAAGCATATACAATAAGTCTATATACGTTTTAAAACTGATATATTATTGAAACTTAGCTTTACTAAAGATATCACAAATCGTTTGTCTTCAAATATTTGATTTTATAAAGTCTTAACTAAAATTAATAGACAATAAAACTCAATATTAAATTTACATTTAATAATAGTATATAAAGCTATTATATAAATTAAAAAATCATAAATTGTATTTTTTACTGTGGAAATTTCAAACTCCAAACTAACTAAATCATAAACGTTTACAACATTATTTGTTTAAAATATATAATTATATAATAAGCTTTTGTTTTATTAAATATTTAATATAGGTACAAAATACGTGGGTATATATTATACTCATTATACTCATATAATAGAAATCGATATAAAAAATATATTTTCAGTGTGTGGGACACCATATTCTTCAACCCAAATACATACAACAATACTCATTATACTTCAGCACTATGAGATTTTTATTTTCATTTTACTAATGTTTAAGTAGTTAAAAATTTGAATTCAGCTATATAAAATATAATAATGTATAATTTAAAATTTAAAATTTAACAGGTTAAGCGCCACGTGTACCATTTCTGGTACACTTGTTGCTTTACAAATAAGTTTTTGTGTACCATTATAGGTACACGGGAGTCTTTGCCTAAAAATATTAAATTTATCTCTTGTGGTACATATAAATACGATTTTAACACAGGAAATTATTTCTTAGTCCACCACACAAACAAATTTTTGATTAGTCCATTGAAATATTGAAATACATTTTATAATCACAGAATAAACTAAATATACACATGGCACTTAACCTGTTAAGAATTATAATGACTGATGTGAAACAATCTCAAGTTACTCAAAGATTTCTAGATATTGTTATTTGTTTTAAGTTAAAATATATTAATTAATATAATAATTAATTTATAATAATTAATTTAATTAATATACATTGTAAGTTTTTTTAAAACATTCAAAAAACAAATTTAATGGAAATTACATTTTTCGATTTAAATCTTAAAATCGTGGCATCAATTGTTGTTGGCGATTTTTTTACGTTTTTCAAATGTCATTCCAATTTCGTCAAGAGATTTTCCTTGAGTTTCTGGTAAAATAAATATGCCCAGTAACATACTTATTATACAAAATATAGTAAACATAGACCAGATAACATATATTCCAAAGTTTAACTCTAATATTGGATATATTTTGATTATTGTAAACATCATGATGCAATTACATATGTGTACGAAACTGCTCATAGTGCCTGAAAAATTAAATAATAATTATGATAATATATCATATTATTTTATCCGAGAAATAAAATTACTAGCTCAGCAAATACATTGAATAAAATAAAAATTATTTTATTAAATTAAATATGATGGACTAACTACTGCATTTTAATAAATATTTACTCAACATATCGTTATAATGGACGTATGTAACTTACGCCAAAAATTACCGATGAAAATAAAAATTATGTATGATCTGCGTCACATCCAAAAGGGTACATATGTAATCTGCGACAGGTTCAATAAAGTATACATGTAATGTGCACCATGGCCGATAACGAAAAATTCTTCAAAACTGGTTCGTTCAATAGATCGGTGTATCGATTGATAATTGTACATGAGATCGCGTTAGATGATACGTCACGACAGTCCAAAATTTACTAGTGTTCACATGTATAAATATTCACAGTTTTAAGTTTAATTATCAAAATTATCAAAATCCTAAGAAACAAAGTTTTATTATTATTCGAAGGTTATATCTACAGTAAAATTCAGTAGGCTAAAAATGGAATAATACTATGGCGCTGTACTTTGAAAACTTAGCTCGCAATAATTCCGTAAAAGAATATTGCCATTCTAAATAAGAAATCGATGTGTCTAAAAAAAAAAAAAATGTAAAAAATGAGCCGTCACGGGACGCCTGGCAGATGTGAAACATCAAAAAAATATTTTTTGTAATAATTTTTATTATAACCACTTTAACAATAATAAGCGTCCATTTAAATCATTGAGTTAATAAAGTATTCATTAGTATAAATAAAATAATTAATTACTTATTAGTATTTGGTTAACAGTTAATATTCTGGGGAGACTAAAAATTATTTAACATAAACTCCATACAATAACGAACAAGAAAAACCCTTTAATTGAAAAATTAATTATATTACAGTATTACATATTTAGTTAACCACTAGTTAATTAAAAGTCTATTATTTGGTCTTTTTGCATTTTTAAAATAATTAAAAATAAAATAAATATCAGGTAGAAGATAGTATGCTTGTAGTAAACGTGTTATAATTATTAAACATTAAATATACATTCAATTATGAAGACGACTAGAACGACACGCAGTACAGAAATTATTGTCGTGAATCCAGTTTCAATAAAACCATCAAACCGGCCATACCATTTTACATGTTATGATTGAAACTGTCGGGCGGCAGTTTCACTGTAACCATAATTAAAACAACATTTTCTTTATCATGGCCGTCGTCGTCGTCGAAAAAACTAATATGGTATTTCTATTGAAATAACTATTAATAAGTTTCAGACTTTGTGGCTTTCAATTTAATAATAAACAAAAAAAAACGATATAAATTATATAATATAATTTCAATTCTATTTTTATGCATTTTTATTTTTAGTAATTATTATTTACAAATAATTGGTTTTTTTTTTATTTAAAGAGGGAGACGCAGTCTAAGTCTCCCCCGATGAGCCGCCCCTGATCATTCCTATCAAAATAAATACATATTATACGTTTATAAATCGTATAAAAATAGATAAGCCGATGCTGCGCACATAAAGAGGAAATCGCCGAGCTTCGGAGAATTGAGCCGACGAGCTATGAGTGGGGCGTCGCCACGCAATAGTCGGTCTCACTACTGTACCGCGCCATAAGATGTTTCACATCGATTACCTACACAGTGGACGCGACAAGAAGGTACGACATGGAGCAAAACACATGTGTACCCGGTTTTCACTAGCCGTAGGTGGCGCAGATCGTACGTGATACAGTGACGCTTAAATTACCAACGCCCCGTGTTGACGTATCTCTATCTATAGTATCAGGGATTCGAAACGAGACGGAAACGTCTCATGGGTACAAGCAGTGTAGTGTATACCTGCCACGGTCCGCGGGAATAGTTCGCCGCACAATATCCAAGGTAACGGCAGAACTCCGAACATGGACGAGAACACGTACGCGAAGAACGCCGCGACCAGAACGGAGTTAGTCAGCGTGCTGCCATATATTTTCGGCACCAGTAGAATGACGACCATCGACACGGTCATGCCGGCGCTCGAGACGACGAACAGCGTTCTCCGCTTGACGCCGTGCAAAGCGGAGTAGAAAAGACTTCCCAGTACGCGGGCGACACACAGCAGCGCGGTGACCCGGATGCTGTCCCACTGCACGTTGAAGCCGTGCAACACGTACACCGAGTACGTGATCAATACGTGCAGACCGGACAGAATCATGCAGGCGAATAACGTCAACAAGATCAGCGTCGGCTTCCACACGGTCCGGTGCGCGTACACCGACCAATAGCTGGCCGCGCTCATCGGTCCGTCCACGTCACCGCGGCTGCGGTCGACCGACTCCACGGTGGCCGCGGCCGCGGGCGGCTCCAATCCGTACCACCGTTCCACTGTTTCCGCCTGCAGGACTCGGCCCCGGGCCCTCAGCCACACCGGCGATTCCTGTAACAAGAACAGGGACGCGCACCCGACACCGCTCATCGCCAACATGATTACGGAAATCGTGTGCCAATGGAAGAACATGGCCAACACGCATTGGAACGTCATGCCAACACCCACGGACAGGTTAATGATCGAGGTGAACAATTGCCGCTGTTCGGCCCGACATATTTCTGCGGCGTACACGTACGTACAAGGTGTTGCACCTGCAACAAATGTGATCAACGGATTATAATAAATTATCCACAAGTATTAATATTGGTTAGTTTACGTTTCGACGAGGTTTGTGTACAACTTGTGTTAGCACCCTTTATTTTTATTGTAAAGTGTGACACACTTGCACCGCTCGACTCTACCGTCACGGCGGCTGAGACACGCGAGTAGTGCGAGTGTGCCACACTGCTACAGTTTCGTGCCGTCGACGTTACGACGCAGTGCTCCGGGATGGCTGGAACCCGATTGAGAACGATTGATCTTTTTCGTTACCCGATTGAGCACGGTTGCAATCAAATAATAGGAACCAAAAAAGAACCAAAAAACCATTCGATTGAGCACGAAAATGGGTGCGACGTTACCGCTTTGTACCGTGGAATATTCGGTGCACCGTATTACTGTGCATGCAGGATTTTTTTATAATTATTATGTAATTCAATTTTAGATTTGTAACGATTATTTCATAATTTCAAATTTATACGGCTCAGTTTTTCTAAAAGAAATAACTCTTCAATAGAAAAACGACAAGACACCGTTTTTTTCGCATTTTTTATATTGTTGGTGTATAGAGCTCGGTGCGTCCATATAATTATTACAAAATAAAATACATTTGAATATAATTATTTTTAATTAAAAATCTTTTATTGGATTTTAATCACATGTTATAATTAAGTATTTTTTTTTTTTTTGCTAAAAAATAGTACTCATACAATTGTCATGAAAAAGGTAAGAAATTAAATTTTTTTCCCTAAATACTTATTTCCAACTTTCAATAAGTATTTAAGTAAGTTGTCAGCATTTTTAATTTCAGAGTACTCACGATAAGCCTTTATAATGGTATTTTTAATGAACGGTTAAGTCAAGGTGCACGCGACAGTTTTTGAAATATCGCGCCATAATTTTACTGCGCGACAGTCGTGTGTTGTGCTCTATTCATTTTAATTTACTTAAACAAAACGCGCAGTAAAATTACGGCGCGGTAAAATAACGCTAGTGTGTTGCCAGCCTAATAGTTAATTTTCAATCTGACAACGTTGTACACAATATATTTTTTTTTTTCCGTGCTCAGTCGGGTCATCAAAAAGGTCGGCCGATAACGACCATGCTCAATCGAGTATCACCGTCTGGGATTAGTGAATCGCCGTCCGAATTCACTGATATCGTCGGAACCGACGTTTAGCCGACATAATTGCCTGTTAATATTGTTAATACTTTTGTGTATAAAGACGAGGTACTATATGTATATATATATATAAACAACGCGAGTGTATTTATGCTAATAAAGTTCTGACGACGCTTAAAATACTTTTTTTATTATGACTAGTTTCCTTATATATATATATATATATATATATACAGTGCTTGACTTGAGGGGGAACGCAGGGGGACGGAGTACCCCAACTAATTTTCAGAAATTTTAGTGCCCCCTTACTATTATTACGTAATAATCATAACGCTCAGCCAGTTTAGTGGACGTTCTTTTTTTTAAAGTAAATAGAGTCCCCCTTCTTTAATTTTTCCAAGTCGAGCACTGTATATATATATATATATATATATATAACACTTGCAAAGCGTTTTTTTTTTTGCCTCTGTATTACATGAATTTAGATCAAATAGGCTCAAGCACAGTGTACTAATTAAAATATACATAGGTATAATTTTAAAAGTAACGATTTAACTAATAATTAACAATAAATATTATAAATAATAAATTATTATAAGCTATGTATGTTTTATTATTAAAAAAAAAAGTCCAAACCGGACTCATTTCCTAACTTAAAAATTCTCTCATAGGAATTATTTTGACCATAATTAATTCGATTGGTTGATATGTGTTGGGCAGTTTCCGTCACTGTCAACACACCGGCACGACCGACTGTTGTATGCATATTAGTTGTAGTGGCGACACTGTCGACTTAACTGTCCTAGTTGGAATAACACGTTTGTCCTGCCGCCGCCGTCTCTCCTGTACATCCGTCGTTAGTTTTTCATAACGAAAACATGGCGTAAAAACACGTTGTCAACGTTTGTCGTTCGCTCCGTTTGCGTGTTTCATTTTGTGTTTTTTAAAATCCGTTTATTTGATTGCTCTCCTCTCGGCTCTGTCACCGATATACGAGGAATAATCTACAGGTCCGCGCATCCAGCAGAAGTCTTCACCTTTTTACGTGCTCTGTTCACTGAGGTAATCGACTTCTCGGCTTGAAGCTCTTGCCCGTCATCATTTATACGCCACGGTGGTTGTGTCGTTGTGAAACGTCATCCACTCTGCGTTTCTCCGTCGACATCAGTTGCCTTCACAGTGTACCAAGTTTCTTTTGCTTAAATGAATTGTCGTCATTTGTTAAACCTTTGTGCGCCCATTGAGGACTTTATTATTTAATTTAGATATAAGTTCCCCTCAACCCGATAGTATGTAAGGTACAAGCTTTGTTTTTTAATATTAAATCTATTTAATTACAGTCTACTATATATATCCTAAATTCTTGTTGCTTTGTTGTGAACTTGTCCTCTTTCCAGTAATCCGACCCCGTCCCGCGACTATCAACGCAATTGGAAAGGCAGAGTACGCTTAACATGAAAAATGGGCTAAGCCCATTGGGCATGTTGTGAAGTTATAATTTGGGATGTGGAAAAGAATACGTTCTAGTAAAGGGAATATTTTACCGAGCCATTTATTACTTCAGAAAGAAAAGTAATATCCGTATTTTTTTCCACGTTTAAGATCTAGAATTAATTAAAACATAATTTAAGGTATGAAAGTTCCTATTATTAGATCATTTGTTTTTATAACCAATATAATGTAAAAATCTTCTTTGAACTCCTTATATTAAAAATTAAAAACATTTAATATATCCAACATTGATTGTACCAATAATATGAATATAAACAAAATCACGTACATTTAAAACGTTGTATATTGTCCAGAATACGAGTTTTGAATACCGATGGCGACACATTAGAAGTCGACCACTACTAACGGTGACCCATACATCTTTCGTGAAGTATAAAAATATTAAAAAGTATATACAAACATGATTTTTGTAAAGTGAAACCGATTTTTTTCACCGTTCGAACACGATTCAGTTTTTATTATATATAAGTAAAAATGGAGAAGCGCCCAAACTGCATTTTCACCCGTTACTATTATAATTTAATATTAATAACCATCAAACTAAAAAAAAAAACTTGTCTGTCTAATATTTGTTTCGAACTTTTAATTGAATTACGTTATTAAAGTACCTTGGACTACTAAATAAAATGAAAAAGTAGTTAGGTTAGGCTAGCATTTTTTAAGTGATTACATTATTTAATATATAACTCAACCTTAGTCAGTTATGCACTTGTGTAAATAGTGATTCCCTATTATTTTATCTGCTTTGAAAATGAAAGTTATTAACTTACTAATTACAAATCCCTGCAGAACTCTTCCTATGAGAATGGTATAATAGGAGTCAGCATATACAAATATTAACCAACTCAACATTATTGGTATATAAGTAAAACAAAGTGCCTTTTTTCTTCCGATTATATCCATCAATGGTCCAATAAACAAATAGCTCACTAGACAAATTAGTGTTATAATACTAGCTAAAACAAAAACAATTTAATTTTTATAAATATATTTTTATTAGATAATCATTAATAAGTTGGTATAATAAAAGCTCGAAGGAAAACAACTGGAAAATATAAAAAGATGGAGTGATTAGTTTTCTCTGTTTAAAATATGAAAATTCTAAATTTATACATGTTTATAGTATATTCATTGCATTCCACGCCTTGTACAGTAAATTAATAAAATAAATATATTATAGTATAGAACAGAACTTTACGAAGACTTTTCCATTAATATCCACGTGATTTTTAAGACAATTTTAAGAAAATAAAGCATAACATTTGTAAGAAAAAATATATCATCAGTAAAACTCAGCATATGTAACTATGATTTATTTTCATTGGTTATAAATGTGTTTTGAGTTTACGATAACAATATTTTTTAGCAAGAAGAAAACTTTGACACGTTTTTACAATCATTAGTTTTAATTTTTCCCTACACTTTTAAATAAATACCTCATATAATTTTATAGAGATTTTCACTATTGTCTATTACTAATAACAGCTTATTACTTTTGGTAAATTAATTTTTAAATTATCTTCGAAAATAATGTTTGTTAAAAAATATTAGAAGCACAAACTTATGTTTAACACAAACTCGAACCACAATATTGATTTAAATAGAAATGCACAATACATCTTCTTTAAATAATTTTTATTATTTATTAATACTTTCTAACACTTACCTATCCAAGATGCCTCTTCTTTGTTTACTTTTAGCGAAGATGTAGGCTCATTGAGTTGTCCCAAAATTACTGCTGAGAATATAACCACGCATCCAATAAATATATCGACATACGCAATTAAAAACATTGACGTAGTCTAAAATGTTAAAAGTGAATATTTAAATTTTGTTTGCTTTTATATACAGTATACATACCAACTTAAGTTGATGAATTAATTTAGTTTTTTTCATTTTTAACTGCGATCAGTATGCTCCTCGTTGGATTATTTTCATATAGAACTAGGTACTTTTTTGATAACACATACGTACCTAGTCATAAAATGTTAACTGATAATATTGTAAGGCTAGGTATATCACACCCTTGATACAAGAGTGCCACAACTCAAAAAACATCAGTCTGAGAAAATACAATTTTAAAATTGAATCTGCTCCCAAATGGTTATTTTTAAAGCTTTAATTTTAAAACTTTGCAATTATTCATATTTTTTGAAAATATTAGTTGTGTATTAATCTACTAAGTTATATACCGACCAGACACCAGAAAATGAGGTTATAGCAGTTAATCAATTAGAATTGGAATATCAAAAGTGTCACATTTAGTTTTGTGTCATTTTTTCATTTCAAATCAAATAATTTATGCACCACAAAACAAAATAGGTAGTTTTGTTTTTCTTCAGGATTTAAAATAGAAATACATTTTTAAGTTTTGGGTTAAATAAAAAATGTTAAGCATGTTTTAACTTTAGTGATTATATGCAATATTTAATCATCTTAATCTCAATAAAAATTTAAAATATTTACCATTCACATAGTCTGTATTTTGTTTATCTCTTTAAGTCATAGTGGTATTATATTGAAACCACCTTTTATTAAAATTATATTTATTAAATAATTAAAATATTTTATTCTGTGATTGTGCATTGTGTTATCTTATTGAAACCACCGTAAAAATAATCTGTTGGTGACACAATACATTTTTGTTTTTTGTTTCATCGCTCTATTGTCAATTGATAATAATTGATTTATTCAGATTGTGACTAATAAAACGAAAAGACAATAATTCATTACTGCCACAAACTGAAATATGGCAGTTTATATTTTTCCATGAGTAGAAATCCAGTTGAAAAGTATTAGGTTGAAACGTCTCAAAACAAAATGAGGCGGTGTTGATTTTGTTTGTTTACAAAAAAAAAAAAACTTACAATTACACAACAAAGCTACATATCAAATATGGCAGTATTAATTTGTTTTTACTGCAAAATTAATAAATTCAATACTGACATAAATGTATTATGGATCCTTTGATTATACTACATCAGGCGGTATACCATTTTGTAGAGAAAAATAAAATCTATCGACCTGTAGCCATTACTCAAAATACCGAAATTTTGAGTTGTGGCAGTCTTGTACCAAGTGTGCGATATAATAATAAATAGGTACGTATTAAAGCTCATAGTTATAATACTATGCAATAATAAAAACACATTGTTTATTTTTTCTTCGTGATTTTATAGGTTTCGTACTAATTAAAACAGCAATCCTTTTTATGTTTCTTTTATAACTGAATCAAAATAGAACACTAATATCAAATTTTGAACATGTTATTTATCGATATTAGTAATAATACAGATTTGAAAGTTTCAATAATAGTTGTCCGGTATTATAGTTAAATTGCGTAATTTTACATTTTTAATAGGTATATAAACCAAGCAATTCTTTGAACTTTTTCAAACTTAAAAACGTAAAATGAGAAAACTAGCCCGTAGCCACGATGGGGCAAGAGAGGGCACTGCCCCCTTAGACCTTATCGTTACCCCCCCCCCCAACAAATCTTAATAAAGTAATGACTTTTTGGTAGTTAGCATGGCTCTAGATAGTAGATTTTTACTATATACAGCCGTGGTAGTTAGATATTTATAATTTATTGCTTGATAATTTCATCGGCAGTAGAAACACTGTTAAATATAAGAAGTTATTTTTAGCAACATGGTATAGAATTTTCTCTGGAAAACACTATAGCATCTGACTGATGTTTGATGACATTTTTTTTTTTGATGATATTTTTATTTTTCGATTTCGGTTTTGGATAACGGTATTTATATTTTCCGATTTCGTTTTCGGTTTTGAATATCAGTATTTATTTTTTTCGATTACGTTTTTGTTTTCGAATACCAGTATTTATTTTTTCCGATTTCGATTTCGATTTTGGTTATCGGTATTTTTTTTTTTTAATTTTGGTTTCAGTCTTAGATTTTAGTATTAATTTTTTTTCGATTTCCGGTTCATTTTCGATTCATTTTTAGTAAAAGTTATATTGATGTAGAATTTATGACAAAACATACAATATTCGTGAAAAATTACAAATAAATTAAATTTATTTTTAATTCCGAAATAATATTATTAGACACCTGTCACCATAATAATATACGGCCTAACCTATTTTATCATCCTGTTTATTTATAAAATAAATTACCAATGTACTTACATCAATGTTATATCTAAACAATTATAGTTATAAATACAATTTAATTAGGCATACGTTATAACATTTTAAATTTATATACTATTACGTCTTATAAGTTATTAGTTTTTAATAGTCATTACTTGTAATTAGTATATAATATAATACTGTTTACAGAATATATATTATAGTCTAGACTAAATTTGCAATTAATAACTACTCGCATCTTACTACTCCTATATTTATACCAGGGCTTGAAATCGAAATATAAAATTTCAACTTTAATTTCAATTTGGATTAGATATTGATATTAGTTTTTTTTAATTTCGATTTTGGTTTCAAATATTGATATTTATTTTTTGCAATTTCGTTTTTGATTTCGTGTGTCGTTATTCATTTTTTTCAATTTCGGTTTTAGAAATCAGTATTTATTTTTTTTCAATCTCGGGTTCACAATAGAATGTTATCCATAACTTAAAATAATTTCTCAAATTTTAGTACATCATCAGCATAATAGTATTGTAGGTTGTAGCGACAAGCTACTGATGTAGGTAGTATATATTTAAATCCATTTTTTTATTACCTATACTATATAACATTTCGTACAAAATACAATTATTATTAAAGTGTCTCAAAAATGAAAAAACATATTATGAAAGTGAAACTAAAATGAAGTAAACTATGTGAAATGATTAAAATGTAAAATAGAGTTTTTTATTCATAGACTCGGACATAATTTAACTAAATATGAGAACAATGTTTTAAATTATAAGTAAGACAAATATGACGACGCTTAGCAAAACTGCAAAAGTACAAAATAAAACTATTTTAGGATTTTTGATTGTATATTATTGGTTAAAAGTAGGGTTGTAAAATTTCATGAAATATATAATTTGAGTGAAAAATAAAAATTTTGTTTCATTTCAGTACAAATATAATGCTTTATGTTTTATTTTTTATGTAATACTTCTTGTATTATCAACTGTACTAAATAGAAATAAAAACTAATTTATATTAATTAACAATTAACACCATATCAGTTTATAGTTATTATAATTTATAAATATTGATTTAAGAGGTAAGAGACCAATAATCATTGAAACACCTGAAGACATTTTACAAAATATAGATGAATTTATAAATAAGTTGCCAGTAGTCCCATTACTTATCAGCTATCACATTATTGCAGAAGTTTCTCATTAAAAAAATATATTGGTACCGAGTGAGTTTAAAAGTTAAGCACATATTTATAAAATTTATTGTGAATATTGTGAAACACACAATTTTATACCAGCATCTGGAAATGTTTTTAAAGATAGATGAAAATTACAATTCAATATTAAAGTACAATATTGAATTTTATTTATATATAAATAATAAATAAAATATATATATATATATATATATATATATATATATATATATATATATAAAAAAAATAATAAACATAATGTTAGACAACTTGTTAAACAAATCACTTATCAGTATAAAATATAAAATCATAATAATTAGCCATTAGGTAAATATACATTTTTAAATACTATACTATTGAAAGTATGGAAATTAAAATTAAAATGACTGAAATCATATAATATAAATATATTATTTAAAGATAACAATATAATAAAATTAAAATAAATTCCTTTACATAGTTAAACAAATCATAAATTAGAGAAGTATAATATTCTCATTAATATACTCAAGAAAGTATGGAAATTAAAATTTAGATGGTTGAAGACACTTCAGAAAACTTGACTAGTAACATTTAAATAAATCACAGGTGATTAGAACTATTACTTATTAGACGAATATTATCATAAAAATAGCTGTTACCAATAATAATGCGCCGGTTTTGTCGTTACTACATATATATATATATATATATATATATATTAATATTAAATATATCTGGGGTCGTTACCTATTCATAGGCAGCTGATAGACTATACCACGTTAAACGGGAAACCCCAACATTGTACCAAAACGATATCATACAATATCAACTGATTAAATGACATTTGACAGTCACTATCTTAAACGTAAAAGAAAATATTTTTCAATATTTCATAAAGCAGGAAATTTTCAATTATGAAATATTTCATGTAAAATATTTCAAATTTACAACCCTAGTTAAAAGTATAACTCTCGGGTGATAGCAATAATTGCTATCACCAATTATTGGAGTATTATAAATTAATATCTTATCCATAATAATACACTACAAAATGTCTATATATAAAAACAACAATCGCTCATCGAACACTGATTCTTTATCGTAAATATACTAAGAAAACAAAATAGGGACTCGTTATTTATTATTATGTATAATCAATATTATTACCAAATATGGCAATGTCTACGAATTTACATTATAAATAGACCTGTTGGCTGTTGAATTTTAAAATTTGATTTAAAATCGTTTTAATTAATAAAATAATTTTGATTTTGATATAAAATATCGATTTTAACTTTTTTCAATTTCAATATAAATTTTGAAAATCATTACCAACCATTAACGACTATTGATATTGGTTTTGATTTTCTATAAGATGCTTAACAATTTTTATCGATATTTGAAATCGATTTTTAAATCGTTTTCAAGCCCTGATTTATACTTTATTTCTATCGGACGACCCAACACTCCTCAGTTCACCGTTTTTATAACAACTTAGCTATTTAAGTTTAAATGTGATATATTAATTTTAAATTGATTTCAGTTTTGAATATTGGTATTTATTTTTTCCGTTTTCGTTTTTGGTTTCAAATATCGGTATTTAGTTTTTAAGATTTCGATTTTGGTTTTGAATATCGTTTTTATTTTTTTCGTTTTTGATTTCGGTTTTGAACATCATTATTGTTTTTTTTCGTTTTTAATTTCATTTTTGATATTGATTTCTTTTTTTAACAGTTTTAAACGGTATTCAAAAACGATATCAAATACCGGTTTCAAGCCCTGACATAAACGACTATCCAATTTAGCTTTATTGACGTTTGAGTCCAAACGGATTGAAAATTTCAATTTAGAAAATGTATTATTAATTGTAAGTATTAATAGTATGTAGTATATAGTAGTATATATTAGTATAGTATAGTTAATATATATTAACAGTGATGGCTCGACGGTTGTCAGAGCCCGGTGCAGAATTATGCGGGGCCCCATATACATATATATATATATGTATTAATTTATTAATTGTTTATAAAAATCTACGTTTGTTCATGTTATTATATAACTAAATAATATTTGGCATCGTCGTTGACGACAATTTTACAAGTGCATGCGCGTGCAATACTTCAAAGCCATGCATAATTGGTACCGTCTAAATTTTCGTCGATACAACCCGTTTCCTGAGAAAACCACAAGACCACACGGGTTGCGATTTGCGTACAGGAACTATATTATTTTTACTTATAGAAAAAGTGATACTCGTAATACACATATTGTAGGGCCTCATACAAGTGCGGGGCCCGGTATGATCGCACGGCTTACCCTCCTCTAGGGCCAGCACTGTATATTAATATATATATTAGTAATATATAGTAGTAGTATTATTATATTTTATATTATATTTTTATTATAGTAATATTATTAATGAACTTCAACAAGCAAAAAGATAAAAAATTACAGCTGTTTTAATTTTAAAAAAAACTGGTAAATTCAAAAAATAATATATAATAAAAATATTAACAATTTAATTATGTTCACTTTATTCTAATTCTTATTGTTTTAATTTAAAGTACCTATTATAAAAATTACAGTAGTAAGTATTAATAAATGAAAAATAACATTAATATTGATTTTTTTCTAATTCCCCATATAAATTTGTTTACCACGCTTGAAAATTTGGCATGACTAACGGGCTTGTGAGGAAAAAATTATATTTATTTACTTATATCATTCACGAAAAACATTTTATTCGATTACAATTTTCAAAACTATAGATCGAAGATTATAATTGTAAAATACAGATTAAAAAAAATATAAAACCTAAATATCACATAGTTCAAAAAATTCTAATTAGGTAATACTGATATAATGATTAATTGAATAATTATATATTTAAAGAACATTTATAATAATAATTACATGTTTTCCTCTCGAGCTCCAAATTTTACCTTGATCACTGCGATAAATGTGAAGGTGCGATTCTTTAGGACGCGTCTGTAGACACGCGACTGACGCGACTGACGTGGCGCGATTTGAATTTTTGCGATGCGACTGAGTAGGTCAGAGGTTCCCAACCTTTTTTGACTCACGGGACCCTTTATTATTTTCTAAAAAGTTGGAGGCACCCTATAATCTATGCCCTATACTTTATAGTTTATACTGAGTACGCAATACTAATATATCGTATATTTAAATAATAATATTTTAATAATTAATAATTTATATTTTGTAACTTTGGTTTTATTAAGCATTAATAAACAATAAAGATAAGATAAAGTCACAAGTATTTCACCGTAAATAACTTTAAAACAGTTCACATAAAATCGATAGAAATCAAACCAATATGAAAATTAAAATAGATTGAACATCTCAGTATTACTATGTAAAAATTATATGTGTTAATAATTAATTCATTAAATTATATTGTGTATACCTAATTAATTATACACAATAGATCTTATACTATAAACATATAGTCTGTTTTATTACTCACAGTGCTATATTTTTCATGAAGGCGTTTAAAAAAAAAATATATATTTCAAATATTTTTGCGGCACCCTAAATTTAATCTCGCGGTACCCTAGGGTGTCGCGGCACCCTGGTTGGGAACCTCTGGAGTAGGTATTACGTACAACTACAAAACGCACTTGCAAGAGACACGCGGCAGGTACATAATCTACATTGTTATCATAAGACATTTTAAAATTATATAGGTAATTCAAATAAACGGTAAATAAACAGTATTAAATTAACAAGTCGACGATAATCGGTCGCGCGTCTAGTGCGTTTTGACCGCCTACCAAGCGGTCGTCAGTCGCGCGATTAGACGCAACAGCTGCGCGGCGGTGTTGGGAATAGGTTTCATTTAAAGATAGGAAAAGCAGTTAAAATTAGAGTCGCACTGTGTCAGCCGCATCAGTCGCGCGTCTATAGACGCGCTCTAAGGAATCACACCTTAAGAAAAACTATTTTATACTGACGATATCTGTTTTATCATTCTACCTACTGAATTATGATTTTTATGAATGTGATATGAACTACTCAGTGGCTTAAGCTGTAAAGACTAAGTTTAAATAGATACAAAATGTATTAAATTGTTATGCATGTACCTACCTATCGATTGAATTATCAAATTGGTGGGTACTCAAAATTAGGTACTTAGATATCTATTTACTTATAGTGCCTACCTACACTCGAATAGATTTTAGTTAGATAAGAGAATCACTCTTATTTTTATGTAACAATCAACCTATACAACATAAATTGGATTTATATGTGATGACTAGAGCAGAGAAGTTATAGGAGGTAAAATTGGAAAAATATGCACAAAAAAAATTACATCTTAGTGAAATAAAAAAATTAGATATAAAAGATACATCATTGCATTGTACAACTAATGTTATTTTAAAATATTTTCTACATCGAATGATCGGCGATTGTCAGCAGCCAGTATAGATTTCTCGAATCTTACAATAAAACATAGTACCATCGGTAGCAAATGAATCTTTACCAAACTGTTTCACATACTTATAAAATATATTTCTATTTATTTTTGGCATTATGTGAACTTTTAAGAGAAAAATATAAACGTGGAAAACACTGCGAACGGAATAAAATTACGCATATCAAACGACACAACACCATACGAGCGCTTCTCCGCAGTAAAGTATTTGGCTGGCTTATCATAAAAGAACGTTATCATAGTTTTATAAATTCTTTACATTTGATGAATATAAATTATATTATGTCCTAATGTATATGGTAGGTTGGTATTAGAGCAAATGAATAGTTAAAATGGAGACTGGAGTTATTAATTATAATTACTTTATTACATATTAATTACTAGAAAAATGTAGTTATTTTTTTACAAGAATGGAATTAAAGGTCTTAACTCTTAATATAGAGTTAATATAACCTAATAATACCATATTTTATCATTTTGCTCTTCTCTTTGTAATTTTAGTTTACTTTTGGTACATCCACTGAGAAGTGCCATTTTAAAATTAATTTAAATATTAAATATATAAGATAAAATGTATAAATACTATAAACTATACAAATATTAACGCAGGTGACATTAGCATAAGTGCGGCGTGCGCTGAATGTGAATGTAAGTGCCCAATCGGAGACCATAATATAATTCTATATTTCTATATGAATGAATATCATGACAATACCCTCGCTCAAAGTATTTTAAAAATAGACATATAAGTATACAGTAGTCACTGTCTAGATATGATAAGAACAACTTGACATTGTAGTATAGTACCGGTATTTAGCTATAAATAGCAATTATTTCCTAATCGATCGTTTAAATTTAGGTACAAGTTACATTACTTAAATTATAATTAAAACCCGATGCATTTAGTTTTATTTGCGTCATATTTAGGCAATATTAAAAATTTGGTAAAAATTAAAAGCAATCATATAATAATGAGCCCCTCTCAATACTTTAGGTGGGCCGGCCTAAGGCCGGACACATATTAGGGTGGGCCAAGCACACCCTGGCCCTCCTTTAGCTACGTGCCTGCCTACCTACTATATACATTAGGATATAATATAATTTATATTCATCAAATGTAAAGAATTTATAAAACTATACATTATAATATACCTAATAATATATTTATATATACCTTTTAAATTAAAAGAGATCTTCTAGCTCCTACATTTTACATTTTACATTTTACATTTTACATTTACATTTACATTTCACAATTTGAAGTTATGATAACGTTCTTTTATGATAAGCCAGCCAAATGCCTTACTGCGGGGAAGCGCTCGTAACACCATAGTACTATGTACTAACATGATTACTAACGGACATATAATAATATTGATATAAAATTTAATATAGATACTTAATTACCAATTGCTACGACGTTATAACAATAAAGATAACATAATCCAAATGCCCATCTGAAATAGGTAGGTACCTATAATCAGTGGTTGAATTGGAAAAAAAAATAAAGGTGGACTCTAAATGTAGCTGAACAATTAGCGTTCCAAAGCAAATTAATCTAAAAAAAACCGTGGGGGTCTTTGTCCCCCCACCACCTAAATGCATCTACAATTTAAATAATTAAATATATCTAATGATTAACACAGATATCTATAACAAATAATAAACAATACTAATAGGTATTTATTTGTATTAATTCTATCAACACAGCAACACGTCTAGCAAATTTAAAATCTAAAATGTAAATATATAGCCACATGATAAAATTAATTAATCAATTAACTTTCAATTTAAAATAATTCATGTATTTTACTGTTGCCTACAAAAAGTAAATATTAAATTTATAGATTATAAATGTTACTCTTTAATTAGTATATTAATTTTTTTTTGTCAATATTAATTTTAATATTTGAAGTTTAATATTAGTCAAATAATTTATTTCATCCCGTCACATTATTTTTAGGACTAAGATTTGCTGAGAGTTAAATAATAATTATTTTTATCATAGTTATGTATATGTATTGCTTTAAAATGTATGACCAAAAAAATTTAAGGAACTTTTAACTGTATTTATTAACTTTTTTTTTAGGTAGGTACTAGGTACTTAAGTAAAAAGGGCTAATAACTTTTTTTTGGAAAATCAAGTTTTTTTTATAAATTTTATCAAATTACAAAAAAATAAAAATTGCCGGGACTGACGTTCATTGATAATCAGATTGTACATCAGTTTTTCTAATAAATTTTATTTCTACTTTTTTTTTTTTTTAAGGCGGGATTTATGGGGGTGGATTATCAAAAAAAAATAAAAGTACACCGGTAACAGGAATCTGCGCACGTCTATGATTTATTATTAAATTAAAGTGTTTTAATTACCTTGGTTATTGTTTTTCTTTTTATTGAAAAAGTCCGATATGGACAATTTTTGACGTTTATTCATGTTTATTTGTTTATTGCTGACGTGACATGTAGGACTGTAGGAGTGCGGTTGAGGTGTTTACTATTTTCAACAAAATTACAATTTATAAATTACATACGCGAGTACGCGACAAGCTAACATAATACTGATTACTCATTCGTGGCGCACCTCGTTTCCAAATAAAATATAAATAATATTTAATTTTCCTTGAAAAGGATCACCATTTGTTAATCGTCGATAACTAAAACAACGGACGGATTCTCAAAATACGGAGTCAATATATTATTATTGTCAATGGTTTACTAAGGATCGTTATATCGGTACACCCAGGGAAGTTTTCGTAATAATTATATTTTTAGCAATTTAGCAGCTTATACCACGAATACGCAGTGGAAACACTTGAAACGTGTTACATAAATTATATAACATTATTATATATTTTATTATTGCGTTCCTAGTATACATATGTGCTAATAATAATGAACAGATTACGAACTAATACCAAAAATTAAATAAAATATTAATCGTTTCCAATTTTTTTTCATATTTATTTAATTTTTCTTAGAAACAAATTCATATTCATGTAATTGTTGAAGGACGCTGCGTCCCCTGCGTTCCTTGATGAATTAAATTAAGGGGTACGCTATAATATGAAGAAAAATGAAGAGTAGCTCAGACCCTCTGCGTCCCCCCCCCAATTCAACCACTGCCTATAATAATACATAATCTATATGGGCATCGGTTGGTGTGTATAATATATATATAGTATATCAATTTAATAATACCATACTGTTTTTAATTAATTATATTATAATTATATTATATATAAATTGAGTAATTTTCCCTCAGAAATGTGTGAATGTGTAGAATATGCATGAAATATGCACAAAATAACGAAATATGCAATTCTTTTTTTAAAAATGTATAAAATATGCAAAAATAATTTAATATTTCAAGTATGGGGCTTATGAGTCATACTTATACCTTGGTTTGCTTTAAAATAGAGACTCAGAAAAAAACATGCAAATCCTATAACTTTTTTGCTCTAGTGATGACCAAAAATTGGTTTGTTAAATATTAATAAAAGAAAACCAAAAAAAAAACATAAATAAACAACAATAATATTATAGGTATAACCTACAGGATTGTTTAGGCATTAAACCGATAAATCAAAAAAGTTATGATTAATGAAAGAAATCATTTCATTACATAATTATGAATATACTTTCTTTTTACTATTTTTCATTTATTTATATATATTTTATCTACACCAGCTAAGCAATCAGCCTCCGTGGCGCAATGGTTAGCGCGTTCGGCTGTTAACCGAAAGGTTGGTGGTTCGAGCCCACCCGGGGGCGAATAATTTTGCAAAATTTTTTTTTCATTTCAAAGTTTACTTTTATCACTCACATTTAACAAAAGTAATTAATTAATAATTCAAAAATAACATTTCATTAACTTGAGACTAAACAATATATTTTATATAATATATAATAAAAAAGTTTTATAAAAAAAATTTTTCATTATTATAAATAGTTCAATTTTTAACCAATGTTAAATTTCACCATCATAAACTATCATTAGTTTTGAGAGACCATTTTCGTTGAGTTTGACGTATAAAACAGGCATTTCGTCGGTAGTCCATGTCTTTAACCGTCAAACAAGTTAGCCTTATTGTAAAAAATATAATAGTAAAAGTCCTAAATGGTTCTTCTTCTAGTGACCACGATAACGAATACGTAAAAAAATTACCGACATTTATATACCTCAGGTCTTACTTTCTATTTACATGGTAATTTTACCTTCAAACAACTGACTACACTAATGAGCAGGATTCGGGACTTATAGCACTAAAAAGCACTAAAATATGCGCCTGTATATAATCCGATAAACTTAAAAATATGCACTAAAAATGCAAAAATGAAAAAAAGCGCTTAAAAAACCATTAACAAAATGGATTTATTTGATATAAATATAAAAAAAAATGTAATTTAAGTATAATTATTAATTAATAAATTTAAAAAAATAAAATAAAATCTTTAAAAATTGGTTTTAAAATTTCTGAAAAAAATACACACTCATATATATATATATATATTATAATATAGGTAAATACAGGGCTGGCCTTAGCTCTTTCAGCGCTCGGTGCAAGAATTATTTTGGCAATCTTAAATGACTTAAACATATAACTAAAACAGGTTAGGTAACTAGAGGTGCCTCATTATATATACCTGTATTACGAGCCACGTTCATAATCATAAATGCTCAAAATAATTTTTTAAACGTGCATGTTTGCCACATATTTGTAAATCATTCAGATAACAAACATGATAATAATTGAAATAATTTAATGATAGTTTATAAAACTGTAATTGTAAGAGTAGCCTAACCTTGCATGCAGTGCCGCAACTACAGATTATGGGATTGGTATGCAAATCTGAATTTGGGGCCTAATTTTTTTTCAAAAAAAAATTTTCCTACTATAAATAAAATATGTTAACCGGTATTTATATTATGAAAGGTAGTCTAGTGGATCTTTAATTTTAAATGACCTGCATTAATGTAGACCCGCATTATTTTTTGCTATTTCTGTTCTAAGAATTAATATTACCATAGGATTATAAATACTTTAGCAATATAATAGTATTTATAATCAATGGTATTATATTTGGTCATTGGCAACTAGTTAGTAATTGAGTATGTTATTTGATTATAAATATTTAATAATATGATAAATCCATTTTTTACATTTATTAATTTACTTCAGTTAAAATGTCTATAATAATACATCGTGTTTTATCGTGTTTCGGGGCCTATAACGGTTTGGGGATCAATGTGCAATGCACACCTTGCTCACCCGATAATTGCGGCACTGCTTGCATGTCGATAGAATAATAAATAATTATAATTATAATAGAAATCAAATTTATATTGAATCATATTGTGACATTTTTTTCTATCTATAGTAGATGATTTGTGTCGCTAACGGTTGATGAAATTTAATTTTAACTTTGACGCCTCTCACGTGCCCTTCTGATTTTGGCGCCCTGTTCCGTCGCACGTTCAGATCGTATTTAAAGCCGGCCCTGGGTAAATATTTACTAAAAATGTATTAATAAAATACCTTTATGATTTCATTAAACTATGGAGATGTTTTCGAACTGGAAGGCTCTTCTATTGTCGACTAGAATACACTTATATGCCAAAAGTTAACGTTCCACGTCAACCGAAATAATGGAAGCAAACTTGAAAAATACTAAATCATTACTTGTTAGATTTTCTGCTATTAAATTAAGGTTCATGGACACTTCTCCAGTGATAATTTTAGATATTTATTTTAAGTCCTGGTTTTTTTATTATTACGTTTGCAAATTGTTTGACACTTCAATTCCATATGGTCCGTGTAAATTATGATAATATTTATAAAAACACCTTACTAGTTATTTTATATATTGGTGACCCTAAAAAGATTGCTGGCGATCCCCACTTTGAGAATCGCTGTTATATAGTAATATATTTATTTTATGAACAGTAAGATAAATCAAACACTAACATAATAATAGTTAAAATTAAATATGTACCAATATAATTAAACACAAAATATAAATGTTATTGTTAATTAAAGTTTATAATTTTTATACTATAAAATATTATTAAAATAAAATACTAGTCATGTTGTATATTTTTTGTATGTAGTGATATCCAAAGAAAAGTATCAAAAGTATTATTAGTATATAGCCTTATTAATGTTAAAGACATGCGTTAAAGAATTATAATCACAAACTGTTTTATAATATTTTAACTCTCAGCATAAAAGACCATTAAAGTACAATTAAATGGTTTGCAGTGAATTGGTCACGAACAATTGATCACCGGTGAATTGATCGAGGGTACAATTGGCCTCCTTAAAAATTGATTGCCGAACAAGAATTATTTTAAATATTTTTTTAGTTATATTATACTACAGAAATAACGCAAAAAAAAAATTACACGAATATTAAAATGTTATTATTGCTATTCCACTATAAAATTATAATATGTTTTTGTTTTATGTTATTTTTGCTCATTGTAAAATATTATTTAGATTCTATAATAAAAAAATAAATATTTTAAACTATAAGTTATAACTAAAAAAAAATAATTTTAAATTAAAAATTATTAATACAGTAAGTCACTCGATAATTCGAAAAAACTCCATAAATCAAACTAAACGCTTAGTCCCCTGAGAAAACCTCTATAATTAGAAAAAAAACACATGTATTCCAGTCCCCTCTATAATTCGAAATGTCTGTTAGTGGGACTTACTCTACAATTCGAATTTTTTTTCCAGAACCTCTATAATTCGAATTTGCTTTAACGTGGTTATACGTATGTTCATATGTATAAAGTATATTTATATGTACATCCAGAGGCGACGTAATGGCAGATTTTTGAGTCCCTGGACTCAAGTCAGTGGGTGGGTAAGTGGGTGGGTATTGACCATTGGGTATCGAGTGGGTATATGTAGCATGTAGAACGAATAGTGGAGGAGCTCTTTTTACAAGCTACCCTTAAATTTCTTTTTAGGTGGGTGGGTGGGTGGTCGGGCAAAATCCTAACAGGACTCATGAAGTAAGATATTTCGCGCCGCCACTATGTACATCTATTTGACGTACTCGCAATGAAATTAATAACGACAGCAATTAAATATTATCGTAGTTTTATCGTACCTTACCTACCTAATCTAGACTTTAATCGTATCATTTTACCATTTTTATGTCAGGATTGCGAACATTTTTCGAGGTATTCTGAAATAGACAAAAAAGGATACGATACAATTTTCAATGCAATCAGTAAGTTAGATAACGTTATAGTCTAGATTGTAGCCAACAATTTAACACAAAAAAAAAGAACAGATTTCTTTAAATGTAAAATATAATAATATAAAAAATAAATGTCACTTAATAAATGTAAAATATAATACATAATATGTATAATAAATAAATGTCAATTAATAAATGTAATATATACATATAATTTTTCATCTCTCTTTAGTTCGAATTAATTTTTTTCTTTCGATTATTCGAACACTCGGTAAATCGAAAACCTCTATAAATCGAATTTTTAGCTCAGTCCCCTGAATTTCGAATTATCGAATGACTACTGTAATACATTTACAAAAGTATATATTATATATTATATACACGAGTATAATATATTTGTAGTTGAAAATTATGGACTATTCCCTGTAAAAGTCTATTTTACTTCTATTATTATAGTCACATATTTTTGCAATTCTTTCTGCATAATCTTTGTACTTGCGTTTAACACTTATTGTATTTTTCGCTACTAATTGTTCCATTTGTAATCTTATAAGACTCTCTTCTTTTTTAAACGTGTCTATACATTTCCATATTGTTGTATGGGATGCGTTCAAAGTTGACGCAAAGACATTAGGCCATCCTTCAACAGAATTGTTAATCTGAGGAATATTTTCAAAAATATACTTAAAACAATTCCATAGCGATCTAGGAAATACTGCTGGTCTCCTTCGATTTCTTCGATCAAAACACCCAATCCGTGTCTTCAAAATAATTTGTCAAGGGTGTTAACATTTCTTCGTTTTGCAAATAAAATTCTGAATCTAATAGTTCATTTTCTACGTCGTTTTCAGGTACAAAACTAAGTGCTGCCATCATTCGAACTTGTAAAGCAAATATTGAATTATCGGTATACCTTTGTTGGAACCCTAAGTTTTGCATGTGCCTCCAAATATTTCGCGATACATGAAAAAAACACCCACGAACTGATGTATTGTTAAAAACATGATGAATAGTATAAATCGCAGCTTTTTCAAAGTCAACCATAATTGTCTTAGAATTTAATGACTCGTTTAAATTTTTTAACGCTTTACAAAAATTAACATATCTATGTATTTTCCGTTTTATTAGGTAATAATATAAAAACTGATGGAAAAAACATTATTAAATTGAATTTCGGGAATAGTGTAAATTTGAGAAAATAAATTTGATGACGTAGAAAAAGTGCCATTGCATACCAGTGTTCACAATTTTGCTTAAGTTGTAGATTTTTTTTGAGTAGAGAAAATTAAAATTCTATTTTCTCCAGGACCACTATCAAATAATAAATAAGGTTTACCATGTAGTTTTATAATCTTCCAGAATGACCAATTCTATTAAAGTTTTTGGGTTTGATGGTGCAGCTTGTACTTTTTGTCGAATAAGTCGTATTGTCCTCTTTAAAACAGATACTGGTGGCATTTGTCCTGCAGCAGCACTTATCAACTAAACAATCAAAATATCAAAAAATTTGATTGACCATATAAAATTAATCTACGGGTGATTCCTTATTTTTTATAAATAAATTTAAATTTTAACTTACTGTAATTGAAGTAGAACTAATTACAGCACAAGTACTCAATTCTACATTTTGGATGGCAATATTTTTTATTAAATTAACAGCTTTAGCGGCTTCAATTTTTCCACAATTTGATACATGATTATGTGCAATTTCTTTAACTATGTGGTCATTTTTCGAATGAATACGTCCTTTGCACTTTAATTTTTTATATTAATGTGTAAACGTGACCGTTCCAAAGTAGTGACGTATTTACGGGTGGGGGCCAGGGGTACTGGACCGCCCCCAGAACCTCTCCAAAAAATAAAAAATTAACAAAAATTATTACATATTTGCAGAATTGGCTATGTTAAACATTTACAGGGAAAGTGGAAATTACTGCTGATGAAGTGATAGAAAAGTTGGTCAAAAAATCGAGGCAACTGGAATTTATTTTATAACAATACTTTATAATATAAAATGCTAAATACAATATATAGGTACATATATATAATATTACATAAAACTATACAATTATTACATTATGTATTTAGTTCAACTTCCTCCAAAAACTGCATAAAGACGTAACTATTACAATATAATATATAGTTTATATTAATTATGTATAAATTGTGGACCCCCCCCCCCAGAAAAAATTGAAAATACGCCACTGTTCCAAAGTAATTTATTTTTTCCTTTTTCACTGTATGAATTCCATTATTAAAAACCGTAATAAATATAATAAAATTAATAAAAATAATAAATTTGACACAAACGACACCGCACCAGCATGGACAAATACACTAAACGTATATAATTTAGAATAAAGATTGCGATAGTTTATCGCAGCTGCCGAGTGAGTCAGTTAATTGACAGAAATAAATTATTTATTATAAATTTTACAGCTACAGTTTATCTTTTATCATTTTCATATAATATAGTAGAATTTAGGAAGAATGTAGAAAGTTTTTCTGTGATATAGTATTATAACACAAAAATATTTAAAAATAATTTTTGTTAGGCGATCAATTATTATGACGACCAATTGTACCTGCGATCAATTCACCATCAAACTGGTGACGAATTCAACATCGAATTCAATTCGATCAATTATTCACGAACAATTCACCGGATACCCAATTAAATAATATTTTGATAATAAAATTTAATAAAAGATTTAACTTCAAAGTTTGTATATCAACTAAAATGTGAAGTTTATTTTAATTTTTTCATATAATACAATACTAAATAGAAAATACAATTTTTTTTATTTTTTAATGGAAAATATTTTATTATAAGAATTTATTTATTTTAATAATTATACTTAAATTAACTTAAATTGTATTTATAAACTAAAAATATGAAATTTTATTATTTTTGTTTGCATATGTTATAATGCATTAAATGCTTAAATATTTTAATTATTTACATTTGTATGTATATACTTAAATATTTTAAGCACATAAATTTTACTATGATAAAAAAAATTATAAATAAATATAATATTTCATAAAATCACTGTAGCTTTTCTAAATAATAATATTTGTAAATAATGACTTCTTTTAAACAATATAAATTGAACATATGCAGAATATATATAGTATAATATACAATATACAAAAACGTTTCTTCATATTAAAATATAAATACAAAATAAATAATAAATTTAATTAGTATAAATTATTTTATTATTATACATAAATATTTATTGTTGAATTATAAAAAAAAATCTTAATCTTAATTTTATTATAGTGCTAATTTCAAAAACCATGATACTATTGAACAATGTAAGTCAATAAGATAATATTTCTCAATAAAATTCAATGATTTGTTTCTTAATGCTTAATAAATCTTTGATAAAAATATTAATATTACTACTAACTGATATCATTAACAAAAAAAGGTTATATCTTAATTTTATCAGTCATATCTCATAATATAGGTTTGATATAATTACACAACTAATTGTTTCAAGCACCATGGTTTTAAAAAATTATAATTATTATAAAATTATTATAATTATTATTATAAATATTATTAATATTTTTATTTTTATTGATTTTACTATATTATACACCATTAAACATTTGTTAGTTTAACATTTTTATTTGATTAATAATCATTAAAAATATAATTAGATTCTATAATACTATCTATAATGCTAAATCATAATAAAATTATTGTTTTTTAATATATTTATTGTTTTATAATTAAGTTTTATTTAAAAAAAAAAAATATACTTTTTTTACATAAAAATGCATTACAAGTTATCATAAAATAACAAAATAATTCAGCGTAAAATTGAAACAATATTAGTAGTCGATTATGACATATTATATTATATTAAACATATAAATTATGTACATAAAAATAATATTTATTATATTGCTTATAAGTATTCAGTAAATTTAATATTTCATAAAAGTATAAAAATTTGATATTAGTCTTTTTCATAATAAATACTAATTAAGTTTAATACTTATTGTATAAATTATGTGATGAAATTGAATATAACTAGGTAATGAACATAAAATGAAAAAAAAAAAGATCATATACTTAAAAAATGCAAGTTAAAAAAATACTGCTTTAAATTACAACAAAAAATAATAAAGATGAAAAATGAATATCATGACAGCATCAAAATACATATTATAAATATCTTTTTTCTTTTTAAGAAACATAAAAATATGTTTAATTAATAAATATAAATAATATAAAATAACATTTAATAATCTCTATTGTTATGCTAAGTATTTGATATGGCAAAACTTATATAAAATATTGAATAATCAACACACTAAGCAGTCAGTAATAATTTTTAATACTCTCTTCTACATGTATGTGTACATTATAATATATAAAAAAAATACTTATATACATTTCACAAAATTTAAATCAAGAAATAATTTGATTTAATAATATGGTATACTAAAAAAGTAGTTAGAATGAAATGAATCAAATTGGGTTTTATACCTTGTGTTAGTATCATGAGCCATAGAATGACATTCAAGATAATTTTTGCCAAATACCATAGCCATATTTATGTTAAAGGCACACATTGTAGTATATGGATTATATATTGTTGTAAAACGTTTTATCTCCCGGCATAATTGTTCAGTAGGGTGATAACAGTACAAGGCAATCATATACCGAGCGCTGTATGCTGATAAACAAAAAATTAAATTAAATCAAATGTTTTTTATTTGAATAAAAAAACAACATACCAAGTAAATATACATAATCAAGGTAAACAACAGCACTAATGATAGTTGCTTTTAAATTCATTGAGCAACTTTCCCACTTTACATTTTCTGAATTACATTTATCTGGACACATACCATACCACACGGGATTATGATCTTTAGTTATCACCACCAACTGTTTCTTATAATTCAAACAAATGTAATATTTTCTATCAACATTTTTGGTAAAATTATTACATCGATAGCTTTCAACTCGAACAAGTGTATCCATTTCTAAACCTAGTACAAACAAATAATTTAGATTAAAATTGAAATTTTTTTTTTATATTTAATATAACATTATATAAATTTAAATTTATAATTTACTTTTATGTAGTAAAAACTTTTCTATTAATTCATTAGGACATCGATGATTTGAATGACCTCCAATCAAATACAATGCATTACCACAAAAATGTCCAACACCATGGCGCCTTTTAGATGAAACAAATCTGTAAAAAAATTAGTGTTCAATTATTATGAATGGAAAAATTCAAAACTTGTTTTTACCCATCTAACTTTTTCCACTGTTTAGATAATAAATTGTACTTCCAACCTGATCTATTCCATGTATCTCTCAAATACCCAATTTCTCCAGCCAATACAAAAATGTCCATCTCTATAAGCATAAATGTAACTATTATTAATACTAAATATATATTTAAAATAAAAAATATCACATTATTACCATGTACAATCACATGATATCCAGTTGTATAGAGAGGCAATGGATCCAATCTAAGAAACTTAGTGAACTTCAGGGACACCCAATCCCAACGATAAATAAATGCATAGCCATCTTCTTCATTTTTTATAGCACATAAAACATGTGGAACACATCTTGGTGGTTTAATTAATAAATTCAATGATGTTTCATGTCCCCTTTTATAATTTATGTAGTGTCTAATAGTGTTTATTAAATTAAAATGATTAGTTTTTGTAATACTATAATTCAACTGCACCATATCCATAGCATTAAAATCTACACAATCAACAGCTATTTCATACCCAATATTATAATTATTAGTCTTTGAACACCACTCAATAATCAAATCAAATATATCTATTTCATTATCTATATTTAAACCATTATCTTTTAATAACTGTTGTAAATCTTCTTCATTTAATTCAAAAAAACTATTTTTATTCAGAACCAACAATTTTTTGAAATTATAGAGAATAAACACACGAGCTTTTTCATATAGTTCTTGTAATCCAAGTGTAGAAGCAAGAGAAAATATAGGTACTGCATGAACAGAAAACAAATATTTTTCCGTGATGACTTCAATTGATTTTTGTATGATATCCGTAAACTGAAGAAGCTGTGATGTTTCCAATATATTGAGTAAGTTTTCTAGGCCATCATAAACAATACGATTATGTTTCAAACTCTCAATAACACTCATAAAACCTTTATTGTTTATGTCCTAAAATTATAAAAATTTATTATTGCTTACTCTAGAAAAAAAAAACATTTTTTTAATGATAAAAATTAACTAAAATTAATTACAAAATCTAATAACATGTATTTATAATTATATTTACTCATACTTTCAATGTTATTTGATTTCCAGAATGAGATTCCATAAAATTTCCACAAAACATAGCTTCAAAATATGCACTATGCTTAATTAAATACATCTTACTAAATTCAGCCTTTTCACCATTATCAAAAAGTATTGTAACACATGGTTCATCTGTTTTTTCCATTTCTATATAAATTAAATAAACCTAAAACATGTTACCAAATAACAATAATTACTTTTCAATATTTCTTTTAAAAAATGCCATAATCTTTTTAAAATCAATTATACTATTATTTTTAAAGTTATCATAATTCTGTAATTATTTAAAATTTTTATTATATTTCATAAAGAAAAGTACACACAATCATACCTTTCCAACTCATATCTTTGGAAGATATTAATATATTTTTTATATACAATTATAACATTTAAACAATATACATATATATATATATATATATATAGTCATACAATTCCATTATCATTAGTAGATACCTTTAAAACAGTACATCATTCAAGAAGTAGTATCATGAAGTTTAGTTAATTCACATTTATTTACAAAAATGTAAATTATTCACATTTAGGATGTCCACAGACAAGTTATCGTTGATGACAATGTTAGGACCAACTAGGATGTAATGCAATTTTATGCCCATATTCCACAAAAATTAATTATTATAATCATAGAGATAATAATAATATACAATTCTTAGCCCTATTTCATGGTAAAAATATGAACTTATTTTACATAATGAACACATGTCAACAAATAACTAAGCAAAATTAAGATTAAGTATGTTAAATATTTAGTTTTAATAAAATAGAAACTATATACAACAGTATTGACAAAGGTTTATTAACTAAACTGCATTCTGTAATACAAACAACACATATTAAGGAGCGAGATACACTATCAGCAGGGTCGTCTCGAGGAGGGGGGGTTGTAGGGGTTGGTTCATCCCCCTCACGGCGTCTAGGTTGGGCCCAGTTGTCACAATGCTTTATCTATACATTGAGACGGAAATTTAATAATATTTTAAGTATTTTAATATTTAGCTATAAATAGTATTTATATTACACAATAAAATTACGAATTCAAGTATTATCCTATGAAAAATTTTTATTTTGTTTACAATTTGATAAGAATATCATAATAACTATAATATAATTATTACTATAGTATTAACTAATAAGTAAAATAAGAAAGAAAAAAAATTACTATGGAACATTATCGTAATAATACATTTAAACTTAATATATTTTTAGAACATAGTTGCAAGATACAGCATAGTTGCATAGATGCAAGCACAACTATTGCAAATATGATTGGTACTTTAGAAAATCTCTATGTATTTTTTCTGCAAATAATAAGAGGTATGGTATAACATAAAATTATTTGAAATCTAAAATGTGTTGCAGCTAAAAAATTGATCAAGAACACAGTGGACAGCAAGATCAGAAAGTATCAAAACTGTATGGGGCTCATTAGAAGCAATAATTAAAAATCTTGATGAAATATGTCCCGATAATAGACATTTTGGAACAAGATCCAAAGCACTGGGCCTTTAAAAATAATTACTTTCATTTGATTTTATTGTTTCTATAATTTTTATGAAAAATATTATGTACAAATTAAAATGTAATTTTACAACATAATTAAAAATAATATTTTGATATCTATAGGTCCTACTATTTTTATTTGATACCAAAGTGAATAATAACTATTTTTGAAATTTATAAAACTAAAAAAAATGTGTTTTAAACGATATGAAAAAACATTATATAAGGAAGTATATTATAACATGAAAATATTTAAACGAAGCAAGAATATTTTTAGGACCACAATTTGGCAATTAGTTAGTCTACAACCTCTCCCAAAGTTTTTTTTTTCGAGACGGCCCTGACTATCAGATATGACCATTGTAAGATATCAGAGAATCCTAAACACAACAAAATCAGATGAAATTTAGTCTGATCATAGCATCTTCATACCAGTTTATTTTAAAAATTATTATATTATATTTTAATAATTATTAGAATTATTATACAATCAAATTGTAATGACTTTGGTTAAATTGTTTTATTTGAAAAATATTTTCTCCTAAATTTTTAAAAATCGCCTTGCGAGACCCAGGCACGACACTAATATATAAATTATATAAATCGCCGACTTTTAATTTGATACATTTGTGTTTCTTATTTTATATTACCTATATTCCTAATTCATTTAAGTCTTTGCTCTTAAGATGGAAAATAAAAATTGAGTAACTTCATTAATTCAAAGATAAATAAACAATAATAAAATTGAAAAACATAATAATATTCACATAAATAAAATAATTTAAGTGCTAAATAACAAATGTTTATTTTTGAAGAATATATACTTACATGAAAAAATCAGTAGGTTTTATAAATATTAAAGCTTGATAGTTGATCAATTAATTTCAAAACAAAAACACTTTTCATAAGGTATTATACGTTTAAGTTTTCAGATTCGTGTGCTTCAGCGAACAGCGAGAAATCGAAATGTTAGATTTGACATTTGCCGTATTTTCATTTAAGAAATACAATTTTTTCAAACAATACAATTTACACAGATTTAAGCGGTAATTGGCACACGCCACAATATATAAGATTACGAATTACGACTGCATAAACTATATGTGTTGTTGAAAACAGTAAACATTAACAATGCTGTTTATCTGTGGTGACAGATTATTGTTTCGATAGTCTTATCAATGGATATAATAATCAGACAATAATATAAATATATTTATATATATTAATATATCAGACATATTATACGTGATAAATTAATCGACGATAACTGATAAAACGGCGTCAAACTGCATTACTATAATCACAGATTATATGAATATTATTATTATATTATATTCATATAATCTGTGCTATAATAGAAATTAAAATCTATGCTTGTATTTTTTCAGTTCTTGATCCGATGTATCTATATATATATTTATAAATATATGTATACACATGATTGATCAAATTCGGTTAAATATTAATTCATAGCTAAAGGTTTGTGATACTCCTAATATTAATTATTAGTTAAATCATCGATTTTTTATTTTTTTATTTTTTTTTTTTTGATTCGTGTACGTTGATTATGTTCTTAACAAGTAAGAATGGAATATGAGTTAATCTTTATTAGAAAATCAGAATCAATAGACTCATAAATATCAAATAACTAAATCAGTGTAATTACCTAAATGATATTGGTGAGTTTATTGTTTGAGTGTATTGTAAAAACAAATGTAGTATTATAAAATTATTTTACCAAGTTTTTCTAATGAAAAACTATAACCCAATTTTCAATTATATCTTATAACTGATTTGATTTACTTCTCTAATCTTTGATTTTTTCCCAATTATTTTAGGTCAGCCACCTTTATCCTAAACTTTCACTCGTCTCGATTTTCTACATCCCTTACTCATACACCAACAGCCCTCTTATCATTCTCAATTTTTTTCAGGCCCGTAGCCACATTAAATCATCAGGTAAAGCTAACCAAATTTTATGGGGTAAGGCATTAGAAAGTAGCACAGTATAGCAGGACTTATTCTAAGGATTTTTACCTACTGCCCAAACACATCGAAAAGTTTGTTTTATGAAATTTATTTAGATTATAATATTTAACCCCCCCCCCTAAATAAATTGTATATTGATATTTTAGAATTTTGACTATCGTGTGATAAAATTAAAAAAAACGAATCTTTTCAGTTATACGTAAACCACTATTTAAATTTAAATTTCATAGATTAATCAAACATCGAAGTAGCAAAGATTGTAAACTTATATAATTATTACTTATTAAGTACTAGATTGTGTTTATAGATTACACAGATTTCAAATACTCAGTAGAAATTCAATCAATATATAAGGAAAATTATATTTTTGTAAAGTGCCCATATTCATAAAGTCAACTGCCCTTTTGATTTTTTCTACTACCCAATTTGGGTCCTACTGCCCGTTAGAATAAGATCTGCATAACATAACATAGTACATAACATAACACTACATCATACATATTCACATATACGGGCCTGATTTTTTCCAATTATCTCTTTTCTGGTCTTCATTTTCCTCTTCAACGTTAATTTTCATAACTACTTTCTGCTTTTATTTCCTCTCATCTCATCACATGCCCAAATCATTTCAGTCTATTTTCTCTCATCTTGTCGACTATATAAGCTATACCAATACTACCACTCACATGTTCGTTCCTTATTCTATGTTCTTTTGTCAATCCACTCATTCATCTAAGCATTCTCATTTCTTCTCTCTGTTCTTTTTTCTTATCAACCACCCAACACTTCAAACCGTAGAGCATAGTTGGTCTCACTATACTCCTGTAACATTTTTCTTTCAGCCTCATTGGAATTTTATTTGATTTACTAATTATTTAAATAATAAAATAATAAAAACTAAATTTAAATATAAAATTAGTACATATTTAATACATGCTAATTTAATATATTAATAAATAAACAAATTGGTTATGTATAGAAATTAATTTATTAAATTTCAGAATGAACTTTAGAATCTAGTTTTAATGACTTTCTATATACACAACGATGAATTTTTAATCTGAAACCGGTCATAATTTACAAATTAATTCTCAAAGGAATAATAAATACTTATTATCATTCTGAATTGTAGAATTATTTATGTATATTAAATTATAACTTTTTCAAATGATTAGCAAGGTTAAATTTTTTTGTTATATAAAATAATATAAAGAATTCAAAAGTTACATTTTACTTTGTAGGAATTTATATACATGTTCTTGTTCAATATATTTTTAATTGATACAGAGGAAATAAAAAAATAAACATAATTTTTAATTATAACTACTAAAAATATCAAATTTACTTAATTGCTAATATTTAATTCTGCATTATAAATACTTGCAAGTTAAAAATGTATATATATATATTACCGGAAAAGATGACAATCAGTCTGTGTTGAGAATGACTAGTCAATAACGATAATGACTGATTTAGTAAGGAATTAATGTCAATACCTAGTCATTGATAACAATTCCTAATAAAAGAAAGCATTGATTAAAACATTAAAAATTAATTTAATATATTTTAATACTTATTAGCTATTTAGGATAAATCATAATCTTAATCTTTATTGTTATGTGGTAAATCACTATGACACTTGGAATTATATAATTTAATACAGCGGTATCCAAACTGTGCTCCGCGAAGCCTTTGGTGCTCCGCAATGGTTTACCTAGGGCTCCGTTTGTAACACCACAAAAAATTTAAAAAAATGTTCGTCATTTAAAATTAATATATATTTCATGAAGACTTGAATGTTCCATAATCAGATAGATCATCGCTAAAGCGGTGTTGATATTTGTTTGAATGCGAATTTATAACATTGCCTAATATAATACGAAAATGTTGATAAAACTACGAAATATCCTACAATGACTAGGATATACTGACAATTCCTGAATTTTCATCTTTTCCGGTAACATATATATAAATGAACTTTATAATTTATGATTAGACAAAAGTATTGTATCATTGATTTTATAATAAATATTATAAAATCAATGTAAGTGCTATTTATACTAGGTAATATTTAAAAATATCAAATTTACTAAATTTCCAGTGTTTACTTCTGCATTATAAATACTTGCAATGCTAGAATCTATTTTATTAAGAATAAAACACAAAATGTATATGTATATTAAATAATAAATATCAACTTACGTGAATGATTTGTTTTAAGCTGAATGTGCTCTAAAACTATAGCAAATGATAACAAAATAATTAATAAATTAAATACACTTTTTTTGTTCACTTCTATTTTTAATTTAAAATCTTCATTTTATATAAAGTTTGTTGTTGTTGCTTTAACACAAATTAAAATAATCAGTGAATATTTTATTAATGATTAGTATAAAAAGTTTAATGAAACAACATAATGCTTTATAATTATGTATAGAGTGATAAAAATATAATTTTATTAAAAAAAAATTTAAATAATACACAACAGTTTATTGAGTTATATTATCTTTGTTCACAAAACTGTAAAATGCATTTTTTTATTTTTTTTATAAATATTTTTATGGATTTTTTAATACTAACACTAAGAAAATTACATTTAGTAAGCTATAAAAAATAAATGTTCTAATACCCTCATAAATTAAAACAAATGCTTTTACTGACTAAAATTATGATTTTTTAATTTTGTTTCTTATCTTATTCAAATGAAAAATACATTTTTTTGTCTTAATGTATATTTCATCACAAATTATTTTCATAATAAAATGGATAATCATGAAGTAACTAAATAAAAATAATAATATTAATATTTAAGTATAAAAAAATATAAGTTGTATTTAAACAAATATTTATTTTTGAAAAGCAAATAATGTATTAAATATGCACCATTTAATAACAAATTTATAAAACATAACAATACATACCTAATTATTAAAAATTGTGTTTTATTTATCAATATCATTATAATATGCTAGCTTAAAAATACTTGATGATAGGTACTTACAAATAAATTACTGGACAAATTTTTGATAAAACATTGCTAAAAGGCAACTGTAATGCCATAAAAAAAATGCTTTAAGTAAAGAACTAATAAAAGATGTATTTTTTATTATAATCAAAAATTGTAATAAATATAGAGATTATAACATTATAAAGAGTTATAACAGCTTCCGAGAATTATAAAAATGATATTTATATTACTTACTAAAAGCACTCAAGTATTTCATATTTCTTTGACTATAATCTAATTCACTATTAAATAATAAATAAAAATTATTTATGAATAGATTGTTTATGAAATTAAACTTTTTATCATATCAATAAACTTTAATGTATCTTGTGGTGCTTATACTATGAATTATAAATTTTTGTTTTTTTTTTTATTTATATAACTTTGAGCAGATGTCTCTACAAAAATAATTTTTCATTGCCAAAATTAACAAGTATAGATTTTAAGTTCATATTTATATCTAATTTGTAGCAACTAAAGCATCTAATTGTTTTTCAGCTTCAGCAAAAACTGCTTCAGCACTTTGTTCGGCTGAAATAATCACCACTTTTGATTTGTACGCTTCAATGATTGGATCGTTATTGGCATGAAATGTTTGCAGGCGCTTTTGAATTGTTTCCAAATTATCGTCTGACCGACCACTAGTCTCTGCTCGTTTCAGCAACCTTTGTACCATTGTCTCGTCTTTAGATTCTAAGTATAACACCATATCAACAGGTTTTATCTAAGAAAAAATAAAAGTAACAATTTTATTAAAAACCTTATAATGTTATAATCTTATAATTACTAATGAAATTTTTGGAAATTGAAAATAATTAAACAAAAAAATGTATAATACATTCTACAAAAGTTATGATTGAAAGTTATTTAAAAATAAAAGGAAACTTACAAACAAAAATGTACCACATGGAATTTTCAAAATGAAAATGTTTTAAAATTACTTACTGACACAAATTTAATTGAATGTAATTGTGTAAAAAAAATTTAGAAAATACAATTTTACAATATTATTTTTATATCAAAAAAATGTATTCTAGATTTGTTTCACTTAATTTATAATAAATCTTGGCTCGTAGATCATTTTTATAATTAACTTGTTTTTCAAGAACACATTAAGCATAGAATATTGGCTACTGTACAATTCACACCAACTCTAGGTCAATCCATAGTAAAATATAAAACCTAAAGTATATAAATTAGAAAAACCAAGTGTCTTACTAAGTCACTTGTGTAGGATTAAATTTAAAAGCAACAATAAATCATTCAATATTTTACAAAAATCGATAAACTTAATTTTGAAGTTGTAATTCATATTCTCTATTAAATACCCTTTACTAGGAATTATATGTTAAATGCTATTTATTAGCAAATATTATACTCTAAAAAAAATAGTTAAAATTATTAAAGAAAATATTGGAAAATTGTTATTTCAAAATGTTACTAATAACAAATTGAAATATTATTAATTTTATTACTCATTTAATTTTTTTTTTACTTGTCTCTCTGTTTAAATTCTACCAAAATAATATAATCTAACATAATGATTTAATTTCTTTAAAAAAAAAAAACCAAATAATTAAAATTAAAGTATCTAAACTTAGTTATCAACAACATTTATACATTTGTAATAAAAATTTTTAATTTTGCTACTTAGTATATATAATCAAACATTTTTACACATAAGAAATATGGTGTGCTTACTTAAAAGTATTAATTAATTTAAATAATTGTTATTAAATTAATTGCTCTATTATTTACCTAATTTATAATTAACAAAAAAAAAACTAGATAAATTTGACTTCATGCTGATAAATATATTAAAACAAGTAAATATATTAATAAATATACTATCTTTATATAATACTTATATACTTATAATATAATATAAGTAATATAATACTTATAATACTTATAATATAAGTATTATATAATACTTATATGTCACCTTTAAAGTGTATATTACACGAATATGTACTTTTAAAGCATTTTTTTAGATCACTCAAAATAATATGTACATTACATTGAAATTTAAACTCTTGTAATCAAGATTTTCATTAGATTTTAAAATTTGTTTCAAAGCAATTATATTCATTCTGTATATTTAAGGATATTGTTAAAAAATATCCAGATAATCAATCACTAAAGTAAATTGTAAGCGTTTTCCTAATTATAATAATATTATCTAACTATGTTTTAATGGAGTTTAAATACTTATCCGAATCAGTTCAATACTTCAATTTAATAAAAATATAAAATAAATACGAATATTTTTGACAAATTACTATTGTCAGTATGTAAATAGTTTAAAGTAAAAATAAAGCAAATTTACCGCTATTTCGAACTCCTCTCCTTGTTTTTTTTCACGTGGATAACCATCGATTAAAAATCCTTTGGATGTTGCTACTTTACTTTTTATCTTCTCATTGAGCAATTCCATCACAACAGACTAAAAGAAATATGTACCCATATATATTCATAGAATAGCTATACTATATGAATATACTTCAAAAATTTACCGTAGGAACAAGAGCTCCTTCTTTCATAATTTTTACTAATTCTTGACCACGTTCTGATCCGGTGTTTACTTCATCTCTTAGCAAATCGCCAGTTGAAATGTGAGTAAACCCGTATTTGGTTACAATTTTGTCGCATAAGGTACCTTTTCCACTGCCCGGGCCTCCTATTTAAATTAATTTTGAATATTTTAAACAGTTACAAATTAAATTACTCATTATTTTTGTGTTTTACCTAGAATCCAAATAGTTGGTAAATTGATTTCACACATCTTCGTTTAAATTGTCTATGCCTATTGAAAAATATGGATTAAAAATATATTTCTAGTTCTAAAACATTTAATTTGTGTGTGAATTATGTTATATAACAATAAATATTTAAACAAAAGACGAACTCAATTTATAATTTAAACTGTATAAATTTATCATGAACAATAATATACGATACAAACTACGAATAAAAGTTATTAGTAAAAAAAGGATGGGTAATACTGAAGGTCATATCATTAGGTACTAACATCAACAAAAAAATTACCGCTATAATGTATAATATTCTACAGTTAATGATGGCAAAGGTAATTTAATTTAATTTAAAAAATAAGTTAATTTGTATGTATTTTTTTAATTTTTCTGGTGAGATGTCGACAAATTGGAAATTGGAAATTGGAAATTTGTATATTGATTTTAAAATAAATAATACAAAAATATAGTTTTTTTTTAAAAAAAAATGCGCTATAAAATAAATATAAAAGCTTTTTTTAATTTGAAACTTGAATTTAAAGTAAATCTTCAAAACCTTTCTAAAATCTATACTTTAAATGTTTTTTAATAATAATATGAAAGCATATTTTCTAATAACCTATAATCGTTATATTATAACCTATTACTTAAAGAGTATTTAAATAATATTTAACTATACATTTTACAACTTGAAAATGTGAATAATTGGCATAGCTCTTCTAATGTTTTAACAATAAATAAATTACAATATAATTCAGCTTTATCAGGGAAACAAAATGAAATCACTTAATTTAAATATTTAAATCGCCAGTGTTCGTGAATTCGTAACAAATAAACGCTTTTTTAATACTAAAAAGCTTAGATAAAAATAAAAAAAATGAAATATAACCTACAAGACCTAAAATGATTAGGATTTTCGGTTGTTAAGGAATTTAACACAGCATGTATCCGTTGTCAAGTGTATTAAAACGTCAAGGACAAATGTGAATTAAATCAATAAACACAAGCTGATATACCAGAAACACGAGACAAAATTAAATAATTATAACGGATAGACTACAATTAGTTTACAGTTTTATTAATTTAACATAATATATAAGTTTTGGGTATACAAAATTACATAATTTTACTATGCGTACATGGTAAATAAATAATTATAAGAAAATCGGTAATTAAGAGTTGTACACTAACGCATGAATAACATAGGGTTAACAAATCATTAAATACTTGCTCGAGAATAAAAAAGAAAAACGAGCATCGTTATAAATTTTTATTTTAAATTCATTCCTGTTACAGCTTTAACTGGAAACGTTTATACTGTTAATATGATCAACAACGGTAACGACGCTTCAATATTTCAATACGGACTAGAAAATTTCTAAATTTTCTGTGTATTCACTTTCATACATGTGCACATATATCAATAAAAATTACGAATTATTGCTGTATAACGACATTGATGAGTGATTTTTCAATGATTTATCTGCCGCTGTATAATATTTCGAGGAAATTAAAAATGTGCGAGTGCAATAATTAATAACATGGTGCTGTGAAAATCGCCATAGTCTAGCAACAGCGGTTGTAAAAAACAAAAAAAGCAAAAACATATTAAATAAACAGCAAAAAAAAAAACGAAACGAAACGAAAAATAAACAGGTAACCGAGCTGAAAGGGGCCGAGAGAGATACGGGAGATTATATCGTCATACTCACCGTGAAACCACACGGGTAGGTAAAAAGAAGTGTGCTGTTGCAGCGGAGTACAGTGAAACGCTAACGCTACTACAAGAGTGTCGCACGCGGCCAAAGGTTTTGGACTATTAGTTTGGGTGGTAGCGACGCTGATGACGGCAGCGGCTACGGCGGCAGCGATAATCTCGATAATCGAGTGGGCGGTGGGGTGAAGAAACTTTTTATTTTATTTTTTTTTATTTTTTTTTTTTGGCAATCGACTTCGAAAAATGAATTTGTTGGCCTCGGCGAACGGTCATTTCGGCGGTGGAATACTAACCGTCATCACAGTATTGCAGGTCGTAGATACCAGACCAAGGTCGGCTTTTCTATTTTTAAGTATCGACCACGGCGGTAGTTATTATTATTATTATTATAACACCTATGTACTTTATAAATATATCTATATAATGTTATGTATACAATATACGAGTACATTTGGTGAGTTTGTTTTGAAAATAACCTAAAGCGGAAAAAATACTATTATTACTTGATTAACTCAAACCGTTTGCCGTATTGTAAATGCTACGTGTCATCATTTTAGTCAAATGATTTGTAATTTATTTTATTTTACCATGGGAATATTTTTTTTTACAATGATTTTACATACTATCATGTACGTTGTCGCGGTACGTACACTTTTTATTTCCTAAGTCGTTCGTAGATATACAATATTATCATACGTAATTTATACTTTTATATATATATATATATATATATGTGTGTGTGTGTGTGTGTGTGTATGTGTATCATATAAATACGAAATAGTATTGATCGAGACCCGACGGTCTAGCGCGCTGTCTACAGCGCTGATTATACAAATAATCTCATTGTCCATCGAAATCCACGCCAGTGGCGCGTCGAACATAATTTATTAATCCTTGTGATCAATTAATAAATGATTGTCACAACTATTCATTACCTAACCAGATGCATACGTGATGTATTGTTACGTGGATCTAAAAAGGATATTTATATAAGGATAATAAGGACATTTATTTGCTTAATAAAATTACGTGTACAGTATTAATTTAACAAAAATATTATTATTCATACATGTAACATACTAATCTACGTGTCTAAAAACATAATAAGTGATTTATAAATTAATAATACTTTATGTTCTACATTAGTTTTACTAGAGTTGTGACTAAAAGATCAAATTCCAAAATGTAGAAAAATTAAATTAATCCCAATAGTTTATTAAGTGCACGTTTCTATGAATTTCGCTGAAAATCCTACTAACCACTATATAATAATGCAAATAATAATAATAATAAAATAAATAGATCTACGAGGAATGTGGACAACTAAAATTTAACATATGCGATAAACATGTATAAATAGCTAATGATGGAAAAAATATTCACACTTAACCTGCTACATAGTGTAATAGAAATTATCTGAATAACTATTGGTATAAAATATCCGTCCAAACGTCTATTGTAGCCTAAATTAATTAGTATGTAGACAACTCACACACGATTAAAGATTATTCCAGTTTATTATCATTAAATTAAATATGACTACGTATACAAGTATAATAAACTAATATTTATGTTGACAAATTACATATTTTTTAATTTATGTACAACAACTAACTTTATGTTTACATATTACAAATGACTATTAAGTTATTGACTATAACAATAATATTAAACATTATAAATATTAAAAATTAAAAATATTGAATCCATTTCATTGTACAGAGTATACCTTATCGTTTATTAAAGTATATTTGTTATTAGTATATTGCCAATCGTAAAATTATAATTGTTTAATTTTGACTTTTCATACTGAAAAAATTTCTGTCATGATATTTTTAACAATGGGTATTATTGACAACATATAAAGACTAATCATTGTCTGTCAACAAATAAATATTTACACTCGTATTCAAACGACGTTATTCAATGTATATACGTCATATATAGGAAATTAAATTTAAATATTAATCATTTGAATGTCCTATATGTGTTGGTATTTAATAAATTAATGACTAAAATAACAATTTGAGGCTGAATTTAATAATTTTATTTTCGTAAAATGTGCACATTATCAAGATCTTGTGTATTATGGCTAGATTTTATCACTGATAAAATGTTTCAGAACATTTTTTTTTTTCTGAATTTAAAAATTAATAACTTATTTTTAACTGAAAAACTTTTTCTTTAAACAATTTTTAAAACTAATTAATCATGTTTTCATATAATTTTTAAATATTAGAAAAAGTGGTTTCAGCATGATTAACTGTATCTTTATAGTCACGGTTAAATTTTTACAATATTTTAAATTAAGGTCAACCATATAATAATAACAATTAAAAAAAATTATGAAAAATAAATAATTTTTAATCTTAGTTAAAAATAATAATTAAATTGCAGTACAAATGTATGATCATTTTTAATTTATAAAATTTATTAGATATTCTAACTTTTCATGGGTTTCACAGTAAACTCAAACTAGCTATTGCCTATTTTTAGTATTTTGTTATTTTTATGATCACGTAAGAGAACTGAAATAGTCTATACGAAACGCCCAGTTACAACATAAAAAAAACCTACGTAATATAATATAAACAGTGGGGCACGAGTCCAATTTAAAAAGAACCTTTTTTCCAGCATATTTATAGTATTTCATGATTACATAAGAAAATAAATGCCTAGTAAAATAAATTTACTTATAGAAAATGATCAAATATTTTAATATTTAGATTTCAATTAATAGTAATATGTTAAGTTATACGAATTTAATTAAATTACAATGTTTTTTCATTTTAATATTGTTACAACTGTATATAGTAAGAAAAAATATTTAAAAAATGGTATATTATAAGAATACTAGAATATATTTTAAGACTCAAAACACCCTACTAATTTAAAAATACATAACTTAAAATTGATTATCATTTTGTTTTTTGTTTTTAAATCATAAGTTCAAAATAAAAAAATATTAATATCATGTAATATTTTTTTATAGTCACTACGGCAATGAAACAATGTTTAATGTTCAATTATAGACTCAACAATAGTGAATGTGAATAAAATAGTATAGCGCTAATGTAAATAAATTAAAATAAAGCTGGTTTTAGTACATTTTAATTATACTCTTAACTAATGATTTAAATATTTACACTATAATAACACATTGTTGTCTACAATATGCCATACCGAGATTGATTAAATAATTTATTGATTTTGTTTTTATGAATTGCCGTTGGATAGAAAAATTAGGTTATATCAAAAACGGCATATTCACTTCATAATTTTTAAAACATAAAATTCAAGAATATTATAAAATAAATGTTTAGGTTAAATTATATATATTATTATTATTATTATTATTATTATTATTATTATTATTATTATTA